CCCTGAGCGGCCAGGTCTGGAACTGGCACGTTGTCACCTCTGTTCCATTCCAGTGGCCAAAGTGCGTCACATGGTGAAGTCCAAAGTCAAGGGCAGGAGACTACGCTTCATCCTGGATGGGTCCTCCAGCCCACACGGGGGTGCTGATGGAGTGGGATCAACGATCCCTTCTGTCACGAGGTCCTTCCTCCCATCCCAGATGCTTCTGCTGCTGGGGGAACCACTGACCGAAACTGCCCGGGAGTAACCACATGCATGTGTTGTTATCTTGCAACAGGATGTCCTGGTAACGGACGAGGAACTAACAAGCTACTGTCAACTGGAAGAATTCGGGAAAGGTCCGAAGGAGAGAGGAGATGCCCGTCCGTCTGTCCTGCTGTCCTCCCAGAATCCTTCTCGCTGGAATCCACCTTGGCTGAGCTAAGTGCACCCCACCCCAGCGAGGACCCTGGGTCAGAATGGTTGACTAGAGATGACCTGGAAACTAACCCCCTTTCCGTAAGACCCGAGACTGCAAGCCACGTGGCCAACAGTCCTCTTGGGATCTCCGACCCTCCTGTTCTTCGCCCGGACACCCCTTCCCAATAAACAAGTCTCTTTCTTCGTTAGCATGTGTTCTCCTCAGACAACTCATTTCTGAGATGAGCCCACTCCAGGGCCCTGGAAGGGGTTCCCCTTCCTGCAGCACTGCTGGCCGTGAGCGCTGAGGAAGCCTGTCCAGACCGCCTGGCTGCAGCGTAGCCCTGGGGCCCTCCCGTCAATGTGTCCATCGACCTGCTCCGGAGACGACAGAGCAAAAAGGACAGCGAGTCCTCAAGGACGTCTCCAGATGCGGAACCAGCTCTGCAGTGGCCCCTCGGAACGTCCCGCGGCGCTCCCGGCTCATCACAGGAGCCGCCCTGAGCGTTGCTCCGTTGTTGTTTAGTTGCTCAGTCATGTCTGACTCTTCTGCACCCACCAGACTCCTCTGTCCATGGGCTTCTCCAGGGAAGAATCCTGGAGTGGGCTGCTGTGTCCTCCTCCAGGGGATCTTGCTGGCTCAGGGCTGGAACCCGCGCCTCCTGCATTGGCAGGCGGGTTCTTTACCCCTGGTTGTGCTCTGTTATTTGCAGTCGAAGCACCTTCTCTGACCCTCCGGCACCTCCGGTGTTGGGCTCTTTGGAAGAAACGAGACCGTAACAACAGCCACCACTTACGGAGGGTTTTCAGGCGACTCTGTTTGCTCCAGGTCAGACAGTAAACACTTTCCTGAGCCAGGGTTTGAACGCAGTGGGCTGGCCCCACCAGGCGCGCTAACTCCCAAGCCCGTATCAGAGCACATGAAATGCTTGGCTCGCGGCACACAGGAGAAAGAAAGTTAGCACCTCTGTTCCTTTGAGAATCACACAGTTTTAAGAATCCAATTTTAAAAACCAAGCTCTTAGAGCCCCACCCCTAGCCCCCAGGGCACAAGCCCACCCAGTTCTGCACGCAGTTCCAAGGGGTTCGTGCAGAGGCCACTGTTATCAAACGGAACGTGGAGGCGAGGCACTGGGCGCTGACGGTCATGACCAGGGTCCACTCCCAGGGCCTCCCCACCTCCCTTCCTGCTGCAGGCCTGCGGGGGCCCCACCCGGCCCGGGCTAACACACTGCTACGCCTGCCCTGAGCCGTGACCTGGGGTCAGGACAAGACATGCATCTCTTCCTCAAGGATGCAGGAGACGTCTGTGCCTGGCCCCAGGTTCAAGGTGGGAGGGGGAGGAAGTCAAGTGGAGGTGAAAGTGGGCAGAGAGAGATTCCTAAAATCAAGAGCTGCGGTGGACTCCGACCCCCGGGAAGACATCTGGGGGCGGTCGTCTCGGGAGCAAGCGGGGCTGGCCGTGGTTTCTGTCTCAGGAGCCCGCGTCCAGGGCCTGGAGGAGGCCGCCGGGCGCAGGGTATCGAGGCTCGGAGGCTGAGCCGAGGCGGCAGCGCTGACCACAGGGCCCTGCTCCCCGCGGTGCAGCTGCACCCACCGTGGGGGCTGGTTCCGAGCTGGGAGGCCCCGTGAGCTGCGGCTGGGTGCCCCCTGCCCTCCTCCTGGCCCCAGGTCCCCGGGGTCCAGCTGTGGTCAGAGGGCAGGCATCAGGCCCCCAGTCCACAACCTATCCTGAAGAGGCTTGCCAGGCTGCCGGCAAGTGCACCATTAGGCACGCTGGGTAAAGGCATCAGTGGTCCTAACCGTTTGCGTGACCTCCGGTCCCCAGAAGGCAGGGCTAGTCCCACGATCTCTGTGGGGGGCACCCGAGCAGCCCCCCCACCCCTCCCCAGTCGCTAACTCAGGATCACGGGAGCCCAGCCTACCCCACCCTCCCGCCCAGGCCCCTCCCCTCGCCCCTCAGGGTCCTCCCAGGTCACGCCAGCCTGGCCCCAGTGCCTCCCGCATCGCTGCCTTAAAGGGAAGACCCAGCAGCTCTTGGGGAATTGCGGCCGATCCTGGCCTCCAAGCACAGATGCTTTTCCCAGAACTGCAGGGTCCGGAAAAACTCTCAGACACTCCCAGGCCAATGGTTCCATGGGAATTCCCCAAGTTATGATGCAGATTCCCGGCCCCCCTGCCCCCGCACCCCCTCTAGGAACCACACCTCTGGCTCAGGCCCTGGGCAGGAATCCACACTTAGATCAGGGACCCTTGCAGACTAAGCAAGCGCACGCCACTCCAGCCTCGCTTCTGCATGACCTGCCCCAGGGGAGGGCCCAGAACCAGTGAGCGGCACCTGGCCAGGCACCTCCATGTCAGCTGTGGGGGCCAGGCAGGTAGAAAACTCTTATTAACCACTTGAGATCTTCCTGAACTGTTTCAGCATCTTACCATGAGCACTGATGTGTTCACCTTCCTGAAGGTGAAAGAGGAGAGTGAAAAAGCTGGCTTAAAATTCAACGTTCAAAAAACAGAGATCATGGCATCTGGTCCCATCACTTCACGGCAAACAGATGGGGAAAATGTGGGAGCAGGGACAGATTTCATTTCCTTTGGCTGCAAAATCAATGCAGACGGTGACCACAGCCACGAAATTGAAAGATGCTTGCTCCTTGGAAGAGTAGCTATGTCAAACCTAGATGGTGTTTTAAAAAGCAGAGACATCACTTTGCCAACAAAGGTCCATCTCATCAAGGCTATGATTTTTCCAGTGGTCATGTATGGATGTGAGAGTTGGACCATAAAGAAAGCTGAGCGCTGAAGAACTGATGCTTTTGAGCTGTGGTGTTGGAGAAGATTCTTGAGAGTCCCTTGGGCTGCAAGAAGATCCACCCAGTCCATCCTAAAGGAGATCAGTCCTGGGTGTTCACTGGAAGGACTGGTGCTGAAGCTGAAACTCCAATACTTTGGCCACCTGATACGAAGAGCTGACTCTTATTAGAAAAGACCCTGATGCTGAGAAAGATTGAGGGTGGGAGGAGAAGGGGACAGCAGAGGATGAGATGTCTGGATGGCGTCACCGACTCAATGGACAGGAGTTTGAGCACGCTCCGTGAGTTGGTGATGGACAGGGAAGCCCGTCGTGCTGCAGTCCATGGGGTCGCAAAGTCGGACAGGACTGAGCGACTGAACAACAGTAACAACAATTGATTGGTCCTATAATCTAAAAAACAAACATATTAGGGGAAACATTTTCAACGAAAGTCTCTCAAGATCTCTCCAAAGGCCCAGTGGCAATGAGCCTAAAGCTTGCTCAGGGGTGCTGGGCTGCTGAGCTTGTGGAGAGGGTGGTGCCGGGCTGGCGGGAACGACCCCCTCCTCCCACCTGCCTCTTCCCAAGCCAGCCACGGGGCCAGCAGAGTCCCCTTCCTCCCTGGTCTCTGCTGTCCTACACAGCCAGCCCAAGGACTCCAGTTCCCAGGGACGCCCCCCGCTATGGCTCTGACACTGACTCCAGTGTAGCTTCTGGGCAGCCCAGGCAGGGCAGCTCTTTGCCTTCGCATCAGAGGTGAGGGGATGCCCCAGCTGTGACCATTCGCAGCCCAGACCCCCGGCGCATTCCTAGCGCAGGGATGGGAAGGTGTCCCAAGCGGGGTCAGTGACAGCCCTTGGCGGCACTTATGTTGAAACAGCTGGGGTCATCGGTATTCTCTTTGCTGGTCCAGGTCAGCCTGGAGCTGCTGGTGGCTACCTTCCCATCAGCCCAGGTGAGGCGGCCTGAGAATGAAGCGGCAGAGGAAATCAGAGCCAGCAGAAGGCAATGCCTTGCTGCGTGCCCTCAGGCCAAGTATATGCCTCCATTGCTTCATCTGTCAACATCAAACAGCATGTGAGCATCTGACGCCAGCCATGCCTGAAACCCCAGGGCTTGCCAGTTACAAGAATCAACAAGTCCCCCTACCCTTTGAGCCTGGCCTTCCATCACAGGCAACAAACGGCAGGAGACTCAACTATGTAACAGAGAAGCTGGGGCATAAGTCCACACCTCTCACTGCCTGGTTAGAAGGGCCCCAAGACAGAACTTCTCAGACGCTTGGGTCCTGGGGATGAAGGTTCACCATGATGAAGAGGCCACTGTTAATAGCTTCCCGTGACATCAACCACTTGGGGAAGGGGCGGGGCGGAATTTCCGGCAAATGGAATGAGGCACATGCCCCGTGAGCTAGCGAGGCTTGGGTGTTCCCGCTGACACCCTTCCGCGAGCAGAGCAGGGGCAGGTGCCAGAAAGAGCCATTCTATTTCCAGGCTCCCATGAGGGCCGTTTGGGAATCTCCTGGCCCAAGAAGACCACTCGGGGAGAAGGCTGTGTGCCCTCTATGGCCTGGCTGCCAACTGTGGGAGGGGCTGGACAGACGGAGGGAGAAGAAAGGGGCTCCAGATGGAGGGTGCTGTAGGCACAAAGGCTTGGGACCCCCGCCCTCCCCATCACCAGCAACCACCACCACCACGGCCCCTGGGTGGGCAACCTCCCCGCCAGGAGAAGAACTTCACGGGCTCCATCCCGTTCAGCTTTCCCATCTGCTACAGGAAGCACAAGCTTCCATCCATCCTAGTTACATATGGGAAAACTGGGGCTCACACAGGCTAAGGACTCCCTCAAGGTCACACAGCCAAGAGTCGAGATTCAAATCAAGGTGCCCGAGCCCTTGTTGTTGGTGGTGACGCTGGGCTGCCTCCCGGGCTGGTCCTCTCTGGGCCCCCTTCCCTCATCTCTGGGGGGGTTGAGGGGTGCAGGAGGCCATGGAGAAGCAGGCCAGGGGCAGGAGGAAGACTGCAGACCACCCAGGCAATCCCAGTACACGCAGGGTCTTTCTGGCCCCCCCACCCCCCGCCAAGTGGGGTTTCTCTCCTGGTTTTGGTTGCATAGCTCCCCGCCCCCACCGTGTCCTCAGTCAAGCTTCAGACAGGCTTTCCCGTGGCCCAGACCCAGGCAACGTCCAGCGGGATCTCCCTCGGAAGGGGGCAAGTGGAAGGCTGGTGCCGCCAGCCTCAGGATGCAGCCTTCACAGAGGTTCCCAAGGCAACGCGGAACCACCTGTGCAGACAGCCTTCTGGGAGAGCCCAGAAGGGGCGGGAGAGCCGCTTCCAGGGCAGGAAGACACCTGTTTGAAGTCCTGGTGCTCATAGATGATAACAATAATGGAGGGCTAGCACTTTTTTTAAGGGAAAAAAAAAGAAATTAAGATATAACTGACATGAGGCATTGTGTCAGGTTCAGGAACAGCCTGAAGATTCGAGGCGTGTGGACGCTGCGCCGCGGTCGCCACCACGAGACCACCTCCTCCGGCCCATCACCACGCACAGCTGCAGGGTTCCTCCCGTGATGACACTGTTTAGGGTCATGTTCAGCACACGTTATCAAGCACAAAGCCGGCGCTTCCTCAGCACCGAGGCGGGCGGAGCGCTCAGGGCCGCCACCTGCATCTACTCAGGAAGCCCTGCCAGTCCTCCGCGGAGGTGCGGTGCTTGCACCCATCTCACGGAGGGGCACGCCGAGTCCTCGTGGCAGCAGGGGGCGCAGGGCTGCCCTGGGGTGGGGCCCCCGGGCACACCCCACTCGGAGGGGACGGCTGGGCTCCCCTCTCCCATCAGAACAGGGTCCCCGGAGGAGAGGAACCGAAGGGACACGGGAAAGAACACACAGGGAGCCCACGGAGGGCGCAGCGGGAAGCACACGGAGAACCGCCCTCCCCTCCTGAACCAGGGGAGGACCAGGCCGTCTGATAGAAGTCCTGAGCTGGTGACAGGTGGGGGGAGTAGTAGCAAGGGGCAGGCAGCGGAGCGGGAGGGCCGGGAGGGACACCAGGATACGCGGATGCTCGAGCGCTCGGGCGGGCAGCCCCCCGTCCGGGATCGCATCCGCGGCCGTGCGGGCCTGCACTGCGAGGAGGCGGTCTGCTCCTGGTTCTTCACTGCGGGCCTCACGCGTAGCTCGCGGCTCGGTCCCCACAGGGGACGGTGCAGTAAACGGTGCTCGAGCTGCACGTTGGCATACGTGCGGCCACAGAGACACACCATGGAAGCCTTTTACACGCTGATTCGGAACGATCCACAGACGCAGTGAGGTGAACGCAAGGTGTGTGCGTGCTCAGTCGTGTCCGACTCTCTGTGAGCCCGTGGACTGCAGCCCGCCAGGCTCCGCTGTCCATGGGATTCTCCAGGCAAGAGGACTGGAGTGGGTCGCCATTTCCTTCTCAGGGGGATGATCCCAACCCAGGGATGGAACCTGAGTCTCCTGCATTGGCAGGCGGGCCCTTAAGTAGAAGAAAGGGATAAACTGGACCTCAGCAAAATGAAAGATGTGTGCGCTGCAGGGGACTCTGCCAGCAGGAAGAAAAGACAAGGCTCCGGCCGGGAGAAAGGACCTCCAACCCCGTCTCTAGGAGAACTTGTAACTAGAATAGACAGAGGACTCTCCAAAACCAACAGTGAGAAACCTAACGGTTTGGTTGGTAAACGGGCAAAGATTCTCGACACGGAGTTCTTGAAGCTGGATGGCAAATGAGCATGAGAAAAGAGGTTCCACATCGCTACCCACTGGGAGAATGCAGGACAGGGCTCTGGTTAGATAGTACTATAAACCTACTGAAATGGCTTTAAAAAAAAAACTAACAGTATCAAGGGTTGAAAATGGCACAGAGCAACCGGAACTCTCAAACACGCTGGTGGGTAAGAAGCTACAGCAGTCTGGAAAAGAGTTTGGCAGTTTCTTAGCCGTTAAAACTTAGGCTTACATACAACTCAGCAATTGTACTCCTGGATATTTCTCCTAGAAAAACCAACACTTTAGGCTCATACAGAGACCTGTATGCGAACACACACACCAGCTTGATTTGTAAGAACCAGAGACGGGAAACCACCTGACTGTTCTTCAACAGGTGACTGAATAAACACACCAGGTGCCTCTACTGAACGGAATACTACAAAGCCATCAAAAGGAATGAATTAGTGATACGCAACAACTTAAATGGGTCTCAAAGGCATTGTGCGGAGCAAAAAAAAAAAAAAAAATGCCGAGCTCAGAAAGTTACGTACTGTATGATTCCATTTATTTAACACTGTCAGAGTGATATAATTACAGAGATAACAGATCAGCAGTTGCTAGGGCACAGGGCTGGGCAAGGGTGTGATTACAAAGCGTTTAATGTGCGAGAGCTGCTTTGTGGGGATTGGAACAGTGCTGCATCCTGATGGTTACAACATCTATGCATGTGATAAAATTTCACAGAACTATGTACCAGAAAACAAAACAAAACAATTACTACATGTAAAAACTGGTGAAATCCAAATAAGGTCTGATTTTGAGTTAATAATACTACACCACTGTCAGTTTCCTGGTTTTGACAATGCGCCGTGATTATGTAAGATGTTATCACAGTGGGGAGCTGGGGGAAGCAGGGGAAAGGTCCATGGGAACTCGCTGTACTATTTTTGCAGTTTCTCGTGAGTCTTGAAGTATCTCAAAATGGAAAAAAAAAAAATTAAGCAGTATTGTTTGGGGGCTACTTGGCTCAATTTGATTTTCTTTGCTGTAAAAAAAAAAAAACAAGGTAAAGAATGTGTGTGGAGCGAGGTCCATCTGTGTGATGTAAATGCAGGATTCCTGTTGGTGACAGAATGCGGTATTTCTGGAAACAGACACAGGGGACTGGGAATGCTGGAGCCACGCTGCGGAGGGCAGCTGGACGGCGGGGGTGCAGGGGCACGAGAGAGAGACCTGACTTTTCAGTTTTCCTCTTGAAACGTTCGCCTTTCGTGCTGGGGCTGTCTATCAGCCTTTACAACTTTTCAGGTCGTCTTTTGAAACCTGAGAGTGGGATCTGAGGTCCTGGGGGAGAGAAGCCGTCTGTCTGCCTCCGAGAGGCTGCAAGGACAGCCCAGGAGGGACAGAGACAGTGTCCTGGAGACCAAGACTTTATCAGGAAGGTGGTTATTTTCCTGAGTTCACGGGAGGCTGGGAGCACAGAAGAGTAACTGACAGGGCAGGGAGGGCACCCGCTCCTGCGGGTGGGGCTGGGGAGCGATGCTAACCTAAGCGGGGAGAAGTCAGCATCATGGGGACCTCCCGGGAAGAGGGGAGGGGAAGGGGCTGGGGGGCAGGGGTGAGGAGGAGCCAGCGTCAGTGACACGGGTGTGCCCAGTTTCAACGACTCAGGCATTTGTGTTCCATGCACTCTTCTGTATGCATGTGAGACAAAAGGTTATACGACAGAGGTTTTAAAAAAAATAAAACGAAAGGAAGGCCACCTTGAGAATGGGAGAAAGTATTTGCAAACCACCTGTATGATAAGGGGTTAATATCCAGCATATATAAAGAACTCCTGCAACTCAACGACAATGAAAAGCAAAAACCACACTTTAAAAATGGTCAAAGGAGTTGAGCAGACAAGTCTCCAAAGAAGATACTCAGATGGCCAAGGAGTACTTGGAAAGATGCTCAGCGGGACCGACTGTTAGCGAAATGCAAATCAGTGAGATACCATGTCCAATCCATCAGGATGGCTACTGAAATACCAGGACGACAGAAGAACAAGCACCAGAAAGAAAACATTGCTGGGAGCACATGGAGAAACTGGAACATTTGCTCAGCACTGGTGGGCATGGAAAACGGATGGCAGTTCCTTAAAAAACTAAAAATAGACTTCTCGTGTGACCCAGCCATTCTACTTCTGGATGTGTATCCAAAAGAAGTGACAGCAGAATCTTGAGGAGATATTTGTACACCCTTGTTCATAGCACCATTACTCACAGCCCCAAAGTGGAAGCGACCCAAGGGCACATAAGCAGAATGTGGTCTACCCATACAATGGAATATTATTCAGTCTTTAAAGGGAGGAAATTCTGACACAGGCTTACAACACCAGTGAACCCCGAGGACATGGTGCTCCTGGAAATCAGCCGGTCACAAAAGGAAAAATAGTGCATGATCCTGCCACGTGAAGCCCTTAGAACAGTCGAATGCATAGAGAGTGAACGGTGGCTCCCAGGGGCCTTGGGGGGTGGGGGGCATTAGTGGTTAACGGGGCAGAGATTCAGTCTGGGAAGATGAGAAAGTTCTGGAGATGGAGGTGCTGACGGCTGCACAGCAGGGTCGATGTACTTAACGCCACTACAGCAGACACACCAAGTGGTTAAAGTGATGAAGTTCACGCTATATCTATTTTCCCACAGTCAGATTGAGGGCAGGAGGAGATGGGGACGACAGAGGATGAGATGGTTGGGTGGTATCACAGGATTGATGGACATGAGTTTGAGCAAACTCCGGGAGATGGTGAAGGACAGGGAGGCCTGGCGTGCTGCGGTCCAGGGGTCGCAAAGAGTCAGACACGACTGAGTGACTGAACGACAACAGAAACAAACAAGCCGATGGAAGGAACGTGGACTGGCCTCTAACTGGACCGGAAGTGGGGGCCTGAGACTGCCGCACCTGGGCCTCCTCCCCCAGTGAGGGCATGTCAGCAGTGGCCGCGTCTGCAGGGCTGGTGAGGGTCAGAGGCCAGGCCGGCCTGCTCGTGGGGGTAGAGGTGTCAGAGCTCTCGTGGCTCTGTGAGGGGCCAGACTTCTCCTCCCAGCCCAAGGTAGGAGGATCTGCGTTCCTTCTCCTCTGGACCCTTCTGCTTTCAGGCCAGAGTGGGGGGTAAAACAGGCCCCTCCTGGGAGGAGCGGTCTCACCAAGCGGATTTCTCAACGCCTTCCCAGGTGCACCATTTCCTCGGGGCTCCCTCGACGCTGTGCTGAAGGGGTGGGGAGCTCTCCTCCTGGGAGGATCAGACCCCTCCTTCTGGGCCAGTCTCCCTGCCCTGTAGCTCCTCCGCGTACCCCCACCCCCCGCCCAGCAGTTGGATTCAGGTCCAGACGCCACTGTGAATCTGGAGCCTCTGGCAGACCTGCCCAGCCTCAGCCTCTTGTCCGCGTCGCGGGGGTGAACGGAGCCCAGCCTCCAGGCCACGCCACTGTGAGGACAGGGATGCGTTTTGTCCTTCAGGGTGTGGACTGCAGGCCGGGATTCTGGGGGTGAAATTCCAGCTCTGCAGTTCCCTGGCTGAGTGGCCCGGGGGGTGGGGGGGGGACCTACCCTTTCTAGGCCTCAATGTGCCCATCTGAAAAGTGGGTGTAACTCCAGGACAGACCGGGTCAGGACTGTCGAGAGGGTGAATCCATTAACAGGTGTAAGAGTCTCATGGGGTGCTGGCTCCCGGCAAGCACCCAGCAGATGTGAGCTATTCCTTTGTTATGTTTCGGGGAAGGAAACTGGGGGTGGGGTGGAGGGTGGTCTGTGTGAGGCTCACAGCCCTGGCATTCGCAGTTCCGGCCCGGCGTGCAAACTCTTTCACCTGCAGCCCCTCTCCCGGGGACCGCGAACAGGACTGCGGGGTCTCGGGGCTTCCGCTGGCTGCACCCAGCCTCCCCAGGCCTGGTTCCCTGACCCCCCGCCCCTTCAGCCCAAGTCCATCTGGCCTGAGCCCTGGGCAGCCCAAACCCTCCTGGAGAAGGACCCTGGCCGCAGCAGGGACCCAGAGCCCAGGGGCTGGGTGGGAGGAACGGTGTCTGGGGAGGTGGGACGGCGGGGTGTGCCGAGTCCGACGCAATGGCGGCCCCCTTCTGCCTCGAACCCCAGCTCCGCGTGGTCTCCCTTGCATTTCCCGGGGCCAGCCACGGGGCTCGCTGACCTTCAGGCTGCTCCTCTGCCAGAGGTTTGTGCCGGGGAAGGGCGGTCCCTGCTCCTGGTGGTGTCTGCTGGCTCCGCTGCAGTGGGGGCCTGGGAGAAGCATTTCCAAGGCGGTGTGTGTGTGCCCACGGCTGCGGGGAAGCTTAGCGAGAGGAGCGGGCGGGGTCCTGGGTTCCCCCCACCTCCTCCTCACGGGCTGCAGGGGCTTCCTCGGGGAGCAGAGGCGGGGTTCCCAGCGCCGGTGTCCCAGAATCCGGTCCCATGTCCCTTCTGCCGGACTCCGCTAGACACGCAGAAGGGCCAGGTTCAAGGGGAAGGAGGGTCCACGTCACACCAGGGGTCTCAATGGAAGGGCTGACAAAGAATCCGGGCGTCGTGTCTCCAGACTGACATCCTTAACCTCTGGGGCAAGTCTTGGAGAACATGGGGCTCGAGACGCTCTAACGGGCAGCCATCACGGCAGCTGAAAACCTCCTTGTTATCTGTGACGACACCAACCCCAGTGTACAAGGGCCTGAGGCGGAGGCCCCCGAGCGTTTGTTCAGGGGCTTACTCTGCCCCTGTTGATTTAGTGTTGATTTAGCCTGAACGGAGAGATTTTCATGTTAAAAAAAAAAATTACCAACATTTCTTGAATGGTAGGTTTTAGTTTAAAAAAAAAAAAATCCAGATTTCTAGGAAACCTGTAAGATTTGGTAACACTGGTAACCCTCGTTCCCTGATGAGGTCGCTGGGTGGGGTGAGGAGCAGCCGCTCTGGTAAATCCCCTGGTTCCCCACGGTCCCCCACATTTTGAGCTGGCAAAGTCTGGGTCACTAATTCTAAGACATCAAAAGAGACTGGGGAATAGCCACTCCACTGGGGCTCTCAGCGAAGAGGAGTGTGCAGCCGGGAGACGCATGAGGGGCACCTCAATGAAGCCCTTGGGAGAACTTCAGCTCTATGGGGGGGGGGATAATCCTGGAAGACTTCCCAGAGGAGGTGACCCTGAGCTGAGTCTTGAAAGAACAGATCTGGGAACACTCAGGACTCTAGGAGGTAGTGAGTTTCATCCCCAGCTGGACATCTGAACACTGAGATCATGAAGGATGCAACAGCAAGGTGCCTTCCCTGGGTTCCCAATCTCTGCGGTCCCCAGTCCAGGCACCTCATTTCCTGGTGAGAACGGAGAGCAAAAACTGGGGCTCTAAGTAGGCAGGGGTTTGAAGGGCACCCAAAGACACCGGGCCCTCCAGACACTGTCCTCCCCGACGGGCCACACTGCCACAGATCCCCCAGTCAGCACCGCCCTGGAGACTGCGGCATTCTGCGGGGAGCACATGTGCCTTGTCGGGCGGAGACGGGTGTTTACACAGGTCGCTCATTTGCCTCTGAATATGAGACATGCTCCGTTGCTCTGTCGTGTCTGACTCCGTGACCCCACGGACGGTAGCCCGCCAGGCTCCTCTGGAGCGGGTTGCCATGCCCTCCTCCAGGGGATCTTCCCGATCCAGGGATCGAACCTGCTGGAAGCCCTGAGCGCCGCAGGGTACCAGGGGACCCAGGCACCAGGAAAGGGCAAGACCCAGGGGGGCTTCGAGGCTCCAGGGCCTCCGTTCAGCAGGCGTCCCGCAAGTCCCCAAGTGTCCCTTTTGACTCTGCCGTTTCCTGAGGCAGCCTCCTCACACAAAGGTCCTGGGAGGTCAGAATCTCCTAAGTCTAAGCTCCCAGGATTCTCATAGATTCTAAGAATTCTAAGGATTCTTTATTAAATATTGTCTTTCCATGGTATTTTTTTGAAAATCATGCAAAGATACTGTGGTTCAAAGATTCCACTTCTAGGCTCCAAGGGTTTAAGACTCGTTCTCCAGGGTCTAAGCTTTTACATCCAGCCCTTGTAAGATTTTATGTGCCCATTGTACTTTCTCATCTAGACCCGTAGCTGGAACCTCACAAATGCAGTGAAGTCAGTGACTTATTTGTATGCTACCCACACTGTGATTTTTCTTTAAACCTAAATAAATTAAAATTGAATATTTTTCTTTTAATTTCACCTCATTCTAAATAATGACGGTATCTGTGAAATCGTGGATTTGATGTGTGAACCGCTACTTTTCGAAAAACATACCAAAGAAGCTTTGGTAATGTAGATCCTGGCACCCCCTCAAACCACCCCAGGCACCAGCAGCAATTTGGATACCACATTTCAGAAGCCACTGTGCAAAGTGCCAGCCCCTCATTCCTGCAGGGAAGGAAGCGTGGAAACACACTCTTGCAAGTGGGCAGCAGGTCGCCGCCCCCAGGGCAGTTCAGTGGGCATGAGAACGTGAGGCCCACCCATACAGGGGTCTCTGCACAAGGCTGGGCAGTCCTGCTGCGGGTGGAGGTCAGAGCTGGGCGGTTGGGTGCCCTTCTGTGCTCTCGGCCCTGAGACTGGGGCTGGAGCCTCCCGGGGATGCTATGCAATTGTGCCGTCTAGTGGCCAAAATGCAGGCCACCGAGGCGAGGAGCTGGGAGGGGTCAGCTTGAGAGAACTGTAGGTGAGACACAGGGGCAGATGATGGAGGCACACAGCAAGCTGGCAGTTGATCAGATACTAAGCGGGCAGGACAGACACAACTTCAGCATCGCTCCATGGGTCACTGATTAAAAACTCACAGTGCAGGCGCTGCCAAGGATGCTATAAAGATATGCTATGGATACGGAAGGATGCTCAGTTGAGAGGGGAAGGAGCCCCCATCAAAGCAACTCCATGCAGCTTATGCAGACGTGAGTGCAAACCCACCTTGGGTCCATCTAGGAGGGAACGGCTGGTACATCTTCCCCATCCACGCCGCGGCTCGAGCCAGAACCCAGCACTCACTCAGCCCTCTCCCCCACCCCTTCCCCCAGCTCCCACTGCCCCCGCACCTCCGTCTGCAGGACTACCACCTTGAGCAGAGCCAGCATCACCTCAGCCTTCGCCTCAGCCAAGAGAGCGGTCCCGAATGCCAGACAGAGCACGCGGCCTCCGGACAAAGTCCCCCAGCAGGCTCCTGTCCCTCTCTGCCGGCCTGCTCTCGGAGCCCTGACCCTCGCACTCCACTCCTGCCTGCCGAGCTTCTGTCACTTCCTCCAGCCCCTGCATCTTCGCGCATGCTGGCCCCCGAGCCTGAAACACGCCTGGCTCTGCCCCTCTCCTGTCCGAAACACCTCCTCAAACTCCAGGCCTGGGCACAGTGTCACCTCCCCAGAGGTAATGGAATTTCATCTTCGCATTTTCTGATTTATTTGGGGGAACAAGTGGTATCGTGGTATAATGAGAAGAAAGTAAAATTATAAACATTTAAAACAAAATCAAGTGTGTAGATCACTGGCACCCGGTGAATTGAAAGAAGGGAGAGCTCAGTGTGACTGGAAATCTGGGTTCCCAGGGAGGTGAGGACCAGAAGGATGGAAACATTAATCACGGGAAAGAGCACCACATTCCAGAGAGGAAAACATGTGAGCACAGACGTGGGCGGGGCAGCTGGAGGAGGCACCTGGGATTCTGTCTGCCTGGCACATTTAGTTCTGGTTGCAAATCCTCTTTCCCTATCAGCATCCAGCCTTCCCACATTCTCAGTGTTCGCAGTGAGGCTGATTTTCAACACGGGCGTTATGAATTGGTCTGAGCCCATGAGAGCCTTTCCTGGGATTTTTGCCCTTTTTTGCCCCCTCTGTTAAAGAGGGTGCTTGCTGCCTTTCCACTGGAGCTGCTGAGCTGGCAGGACGTATGCCAGATCCCCCTTGCCGGAGCAAAGGCAAAGCCTGAGCATAAACCTCCGTCTCAGAGGGAGTCACGCTCACGAGAACCGCGTCGGAGCGTCTGGATCCAGCCGCACCTGAAGTCACTTCCCTCTGAAAGTTTTAGATCCATGAACCAATAGATGTCCCCTCTTTTCAGGGCTGGGCGAGTTTGCCATTTGTGCCCAACACTTGTGAGCTACAGGTTTCTGACTTCCGTGCTAGTCTGGGGTGGGGCAGGGCGGCAGAGGATGGTGGCAGAGACTTGCCGTGGAAAGTAGGGAGGGGCCGGAGCAGAAGCGGCAGAGCAACAGATGTGGCGGCCGTTTCTTGCAGGCAAGACTTTTATTCCCAGTGGACTGAAGCATCTAGTGTGGGAACTGCAGGGTCTGAACATGTGAGCCAACCCAGAAATCTGAAACAACGAAATGCCCTCTCCCCTGACTGCCCACAGGCCACAGTCTCTCTCATCCATCCAGAAATCCTTTGAAAGGACACCCAGGGACGGGAATGGCCTGGGGCAGATCCCGTTCTTGGCTTCTTGGGGCTCTGGAAGGAAGCCTTCTGAGTCTTCCCAGACCACACTGGGAAGGCCAAGACTCCACAAGACAACTGGGCAGGGGATGAAATGGTGAGGGTGGGATCAGCTGGAGCATTTTCCACGGCTCTCTGCCTGCTCGGGCATCATCTGACTGTCCCCGAGGGCCTCTGGTCGGGCAAGGGGATGCTGTGGGGGTGGACGCTGCTTCTGGCCTAAATCAGGCTCCTCCTAGGAGCTGCGTGAGGGCACGACGCACAGCCCCAGACAGTACCAGGGTCGTGTGTCCCCCACGACGACCAACAGGAGTGCCTGGCACAGGGTCGTGCAAAAGGGATTAACTCTCTTTCAGAAAACAGAGCCCAAGTCCTTGCTGGGAGTGAGCAGAGCAGGAGCTCACAGGACTGAGGTGGGCGAGCACGCATGGCACTGCTCTCTCTGCAGGGCCCCACACTGCCCCCACCCCCACAGCCACCTCACCCGGCCCCCGCGTGGGCACCACTGCCTCCGAAACCTCCCGCCTGGGACCAGCCACAGCTTCCCAGCTTCTAGAGCTGCAGCTGTGAGTGAGCGAAGGTCAACAGAGAGAGGAAAATATCTGTGAAAAGTTGATGCCCATTCGTGATAAAAACTCTAAGGAAAAAATAGTATCAAAGAGAAGTGCCTTAATCTGATAAAGGATATCTGACAAACACACAGACACATACTGACAGACAGACACACACACACACACACACACACACATGTGCACTCACAGAGCTAACATCATTGCTGGTGAAATAGCGAGTGATTTTCTCCTAAGGATCCCCTAGAATCAAGAAAAGGATGTCCATCACTGACAATTCTACTCAAGACTGTATGGTAGGACCCAGTCATCTCGACAAGGCAACAAATAAAAAGAAAACAAACAAGGATTGGAATGGAAACATACAAACTGTCATTATTTCAGGTGAGAAAAACTGTGCATGGAAGAATCCAAAATAATCTACAAAATATTAGAATGAATGAGAAAATTTAGCAAGGTTGCTGGATATAATCAATGCACAAAAATTAATTGAATTTTTATAAAGTAGCAACATCTAGAAAGTGAAAATTTTTTAAGTCATTTATAATAATATCAAGAACCATCAAACCTTATGAATAAATCTAATCAAAGAGGTGCAAGACCCAACACTAAAAACTATTAAACACTGAAGAGAAACTGGTCAGTTGTGTCTGACTCTTTGTGACCCCATGGACTGCAGCCCGCCAGACTCCTCTGTCCATGGAGTTCTCCAGGCCAGAATACTGGAGTGGGCTGCCATTTCCTTCTCCAGGGGACCTTCCCCACCCAGGGATGGAACCCAGGTCTCCTGCATTGCAGGCAGACTCTTTACCAGCTGAGCCCCTAGGGAAGCCAGGGAAACTACAGAACTTACACCTAAATAAACTGAGGGCTATACCACGTTCACTAACTGGTCAACGTAATATTATTAAGATGTCAATCCTCCCCAAATAGGTTTGTATACAGCTGGTCCTGACTGAGGGTTTTTTTGGACTTTTGTTGTTGTTCAGTCACTAGGTCTTGTCTGACTCTTCATGACACCATGGACTGCAGCACGCCGGGCTTCCCTGTCCTTCACTGTCTCCCAGAGTTTGCTCAGATTCATGTCCATTGAGTCAGTGATGATAACACCCATCTCATCCTCTGTCGCCCCCTTCTCCTCCCACCCTCAATCTTTCCCAACATCAGGGTCTTTTCCAGTGAGCTGGCTCTTCACATCAGGTGGCCAAAGTATTGGAGCTTCAGCTTCAGCATCAGTCCTTCCAATGAATATTCAGGACTGATTTCCTTTAGGATGGACTGGTTTCATCTCCTTGCAGTCCAAAGGACTCTCTAGAGTCTGCTCCAACACCACAGTTGGAAAACATCCATTCTTCAGCATTCAGCGTTCTTTATGGTCCAACTCTCACATCCATATATGACTACTGGAAAAATCATAGCTTTGACTGTATGGACCTTTGTCAGCAAAGTGACATCTCTGCTTTTTAATACACTGTCTAGGTTTGTCATGGCTTCCCTTTCAAGGAACGAGCATCTTCTAATTTCATGGCTGCATTCACCATCCACAGTGATTTTGGAGCCCAAGAAAATAAAATCTGTCACTGCTTCCACTTTCTTCCCCTTCTATTTGCCGTGAAGTAATTGGACCAAATGCCATGATTATAGTTTTTTAATGTTGAGTTTTACAATGCTGTGAAAGCAATACACATTTAGTAGAAACCTGAATTCTGACCTCTTTGCGGGCTAGCATGACGTGGTTATGATCCTCTCTCATGATGCTGGGCAGTGGCAGCTACAGCTCCTAGTGAGCCCTGCGATCAGGAGAGCGAATAGCCCGCACACTCACCACCGTTCAGTTCTTCGCTTTCAGTGTAGTATTCAATAAATTATAGGAAACATTATCAGAAAATAGGCTTTGTGTGATGACTTTGCCCAACTGTAGGCTAATGTAAGTGTTCTGAGCACATGTACAGTAGGCTAGGCTACATGATGGTATTCAGTAGGCTCAGTTCAGTTCAGTCACTCAGTCGTGTCCGACTCTTTGCGACCCCATGGACTGCAGCACGCCAGGCTTCCCTGTCCATCACCATCTCCCGAAGTTTGCTCAGACTCATGTCCATCTAGTCGGTGATGCCATCCGACCATCTCATCCTCTGTTGTCCCCTTCTCCTCCCGCCTTCAATCTTTCCCAGAATCATGATCTTTCCCAATGAGTTGGTTCTTCATATCAGGTGGCCAAAGTACTGGAGTTTCAGCTTCAGCATCAGTCCTTCCAATGAACACCCAGGACTGATCTCCTTTAGGATGGACTGGCTTGATCTCTTTGTAGTCCAAGGGACTCTCAAGAGTCTTCTCCAGCACCACAGTTCAAAAGCATCAATTCTTCAGTGCTTAGCTTTCTTTATGGTCCAACTCTCACATCCATACATGACCACTGGAAAGACCATAGCTTTGACTAGATGGACCTTCGTTGGCAAAGTAGTAGGTTAGCTGTATTAAATGCACTTTCCACTTAACCATATTTTCAGCAATGCGTTATCAGGAGGTAATTCCAGCTTAAAGTGAAGAAGATCTGTATTCAGTGAATGCCCAGTCAGTATCCCAGCAGGCGTTTTTGAGGAAATTGACATGACACTTTTAAAATGTATATGGACATTCAAAGGCTCTACAGTAGGTCAGACCAATCTCAAAAAAACAAAAACACAAAGCTGGAGGACTTATACCACCAGATGTCAGGAGTTTTCATAACTCCACAGTAGGTAAGACAGTGTGGGATGGCACAACAGTCAAAGGGACCAGAACACAGAGCCCAGAAAGAGCTTGCGGGCAGTTGACACATTCCGTCAGCTGATTTACAGCGAAGACGTGCTACAATCCGGCGTGGGAAAGAGGGCCTTTTTAGTAAATAGTATCAGCTCAGTTGGATATAACCATATGGGGGGAGAAAATGAACCTTCCTCATGGCACAGACAAATACTAATTTAGCCTTAGATCTACAGTAAAATGATAATTCTCTCAGAAAAAAAAAATAGAATATCTTCATGACCCTGAAGCATGCAAATATTCCTTAAAACAGGTTGAGAGAAGATGCTTGCAGTATATCTGCGAATGAGAACTTGCATCTAGAATATATAAAGAACTTTTATAAATTAGTAAGAAACCAGGGAACACCCCAGTTTCAAAAATGAGCAAAAACTTGCACAGCCACCATAAAGATGAGGACACTTGAACGACCGGGAAGCAAGACGCGTCGCGGGCCTTCATGGACCCGCTGACTGAATCTCGGTAGGGCAGCATCCCACCCCCCACCACACTGCACCGCTGGCCAGTGCGTGTGGAGGGCCCGAGAGGTCTGCCTTCCGGGGGCGCTTGTCGGTCAGCCCCAGGAAGTGCCCTGGCGACGTCTGCCTCGGCTCCAGAAGCAGGGCGGCCCACATCCGGGATGCAGCGAGGCCCACTGTTTCCACCGCCGTGGCCGCTGGGACAGGCAGGGTCGCCCTGGGGCTCCCCGCTGGCCGATGGGGCTCTGTCGACCTGCGTCGCCCATCAGCTTATCCCTCCGGCCCGTTCGGTCCCTCTCCCTTTCTCCTCACAGACGCTGGTCCCTCACAGATGCCTGGCAGCCCAGACTCCGTCACCGCACCGGCTTGTGGCGGACGCGGACTCAGAGCAGCCGGAATGCTCAGGAGGTACCGCCTGGCTGGGAAGTTACTGCCCCTTCAGAACGTGGTCTGACAGCGTCTACGGAGAGCCAGGGTGCAAAGACACCCTGCCGCCCGGCAGACTCCCCCCGGGTGGACGTCCCTCTGGATCACTGTGCTGCCCGCAAAAGCCTTGTCCACAGAGGCTTTATCCCTGGCAGCCCAGACTGGCAACCTTCCAAACGGCCTCCCATGAGAGAAGGGATGAATCCACGTGGCAGCGCCTCATCGCACCTTGACAGGAAAAAGCTGTTTTGAACACCACTTGGACGAATTTCACCAGCGATATATGCTGCCCTGGAGACGCCAGACCCAGGACGGCGTATGCCGTGGGACTCCCCTCAGGTGCTGTCGGGAACCAGGCTCACCCCACCTGTGAGGACAGAGCCAGTGAGGTGGGGAGTCGGTGCTGGAGGGACGTTCTGGAAGCTGGAAGCCCCATACCCCGGTGTGAGCACACGTGGCTATGCACACGTGTGTGTGTGTGTGTGCGCGTGCACACGTGTGTGTGTTAGCTGCTCAGCCATGTTGGAGTCTCTGCAGCCCCATGGACTGTAGCCGCCAGGCTCCTCTGGCCATGGGGTTCTCCACACAAGACTACTGGAGTGGGTAGCCATTTCCTTCTCCACGGGTTCTTCCCGACCCAGGGGTCGAACCTGGGTCTCTTGCCTTGCAGGCGGATTCTCGATCGCCTGGGCCACCAGGGAAGCCCAGGCACATGTATACACGCGCAAAAACCGGTGAATCTCTACAACCAAGACCTGTGCCTTTACTGACTGCTGCACCTCGATAAAGAAAATAAGGTTAAAAGAAAGAAAAAAACATATAAGAAGGCCCAGGCCTCTATAATGAGCCACGTTTATTGAGAACTTAATCTGTTCCCGGTCCAGGGCTTGACATGCAGTAGCTCGTATACTCCCCACACGGACACACGGACACACCCCGACAGACACACCAACATATACTCCAGCATTCACACGCGTCCCTACACACAGAAACGCACACTCACCAGCGACAGGGCACAGCTGAGCGTGCAGCCCCAGAGCCCGCTGTGCAAACGCCCTGCGCTCCTGTCTTCCGTCTTTGATGTGGTCACACACCCATTCGCGCAGGTCTGCGTGCACCCAGGGCCCCCTGCGTGCAAGGACTGGCCATCGATCAGCCAGCCCTGCAGGGGGAGGACACACCTGCGGGGCAGAGGGTGCTGGGCCGAATGGGTGCTGGGATACAGACCTGGAACCTGGGACAGGTTCGGACAGGTTTCGGTGTGAGCTCGGATTTCACCCTCTACGGCCTAGGGAGAGGGTTGACCATCGAGCCAATCTCCCTCAACCCCCGAGAGACCGTGCACCATTCTTGTCCTTTGTTTTTGAAACGTGGGGAAAGCCGTGATTCCCTTCACAGGACTGGCGGGTTTGGGGCTCAGAGGACCCTCAGTCACCAAGCTGCGAGAGGCTCCAAGTTGGCAAGTGGTGGCTCAGTCACCCAGGGATGGTGGACCAGACCCCACTCAGAAATAAGATTTTATCTACCCCCAAGACAGCTGTTCACGCAAGGCCTGGGAAACCAGGCAGGTGGGAGGAGAAGCAAAAAGCAGCCCTGTTTCCTCCCGGCATCTTCAGAGAAGCCCCTCCCTGCAGACCGAGCCCCGCAGCGCAGCTCCTGTTGAAGGGATGCCGAGTCCTGGCCTGCCTTCTTGCCTGAGGCCGGACAAACATGCAAATAAGAACCACGCTGGCGAATTCCTCCACCCACACTCAGGACCACATCCCCTCCTGAGGGAGCGGAAGGGAACTCAGACCTCACGAGCCCCACCCCCGGGACCCAGGCAAAACACATTCCTGAAGGTCTAGGGCTTCAGGCTGGGTGTCTGGGAACTCAGCGATGGAAAAGTCCCTGATCTCAGGGCCCCTGGAGAGGCCGTGGGCCCCACCACCCCAGACACTGAACTGAGGCATGGCCAGCCTGTGGTTAGGGCTCTTCTCAAGAGAAGCTGTCTTGGCAGGAGATGACAGGAGGTCTAGCACAGCCCAGACTTGCTGCCGTCCCTGAGCCTGACATACCACTTCTTCTGTGATGACTTAGGACTTAATCCATGCAGCTGGGACCCCGGGCCCTCTGCACGCCTGCAGGGAAGGCGGAGGCAAGAGGATCTTGGTTTTGGTCACCTGGCCCAAGTTCAACGCCCCCTGGAAAATTGTGTAACACACACATACCAGACCCACGCCTGGTCTCTCTAGCACGCCAGTCCCTGGCCCTCCCACACCTTTGCTCAGTTCAGTCTGAACCCTGTGAACTCCGGTCTCCAGAGGCCTCGGGGTCCACCGGCAGGTTGGTTTTCCCGTGTGGGATCCACGTGCTTTGGTTGGCACCCAGGGTTCCCCTGCTTCGGGTTCTGACCTGGGCTCCCTGGCTTCAGCGCTGCATCTGTCCTGTGTAATAGCACAGTGCCCGGAGGGGCAGATGGCGGCCCCACTAGTGTCTCCCAGCCCCACAAGCAGGAGCTAACTGACAGGGAGGCCCAGGCGGGGGGCATTGTCCCAAACCCAGCCAGAGGGTGGGGCTGCCTTGCAGCACCCTTGGATGCTTCCTGGCAGGAAAAATGAACTAACAGATGGACTCACCCAACTGACCCAGGCCCACCAGGGCCAGGTGTGGAGTCTGGATGATGAGCCTGGTGATGGAAGGTGCTGGCCTCCGGACACTCCCAGTCCTTGGGGGAGGTTGACAGGCAAGGAAGGAATGAGCACATGGGGGCCACTTCTGGGCTGTGCGAGAACGCCACCTGGAGAGAAGTGGGTGCAGCCGGGGGTGGGGAGGTTCAAGGTCAAGTGTGGCGTCCGGGCGACCCTTAGAGGGCTGTGGACGTGAACTCCGGGAGCCCAGAGCCCAGCGGAGGGCACGGCATGCAGCGACCTGGGCGCCCTCTTCTCTGTCTCTCTGGGTCTCTATCTCTCTGGGTCTCTGGGTCTCTGTCTCTCTGTCTCTATCTCTCTGTCTCTGTCTCTCTGAGTCTCTGTCTCTGGGTCTCTATCTCTCTGTCTCTGTCTCTCTGAGTCTCTGTCTCTGGGTCTCTATCTCTCTGTCTCTGGGTCTCTCTCTCTGTCTCTCTGGGTCTCTATCTCTCTGTCTCTCTGGGTCTCTGTCTCTCTGAGTCTCTGTCTCTGGGTCTCTGTCTCTCTGTCTCTGTCTTTCTAGCTACAGGGCCCTACCTCCAAAGGAGCCCAGAGAAATGAGTAACTAGCTGTACTCTGCCCCCAAATCCCTAAACTCAAGAGAATTACAAAGGTTTCAGAGAGAATCGAATCCAATCTTCGTAAGAAAACGTAAGGCATGACTTACACACAGTAAAATGAACGTATTTTCAATGTACAGCTTCCTGGCTCTCACATATGTGTACACGCATGTAACTGCCAACCAGATGAAGGTACAAAACAATTCCAGCTCCTCAGAAAGTTCCTCATGTCCTTTTCCAGTCAACTCCCACCTTCACCAAAGCAACCACTCATCTGAATCCTTTCATCAGTTTTGTTAAGTCATTCTGCAAATTCCTTTGAGTGAAATTACACAATATGTAGCCCCTTGAGTCTGACTTATCAAGCCCAGCATTAAGTTTACGCAATTTCTCAGGACTGTTGCATGTATCTGTAGTTTGCTTCTTTTATTCCTGAGTTGCTGAGTAGTGGTCTATCAAACAAAGTTGTTGCACGGGTATATCTCCATTGGTTTATTCACTCACCTGCTGATGTACACTTAGGTTATTTCCAGTTTTTGGTTATTATGAATAAAGATGCTATGAACTCTTATGTAAAAGTCTCTGTGTGGACCGGGGTTAAAGGACAAAGGAAATATTCTGGTACAAATGGCTGACAACCCCCGTGACGACAGAGGCCTCGGGTATGGCTTGATCGGGAGGCTCACCATCCCACAGCCTGCACTCCGTCTCTGCCAGGCTTCCAGCCCTACCTTTCTGGGGCACGAGCCCTTCTCAGCCTCTTGGTCCTCTCCATCTGCACTTAGAGCACGATCTTTCGCCTTTGCTTATCCAATCAGACACTCTTTATCCAGCAGACGCTGATGGAGCCAACTCTCTGCCAAGCACTGAGCTCCAGGGGAGAACAATGTGTGAGCAAGCTCTGCCCTTGCCTCACGGAGCTTGTGAGCTAGCAGGAGCGGGAGAAAGACGGACCCGGGAGCCCGCAGGCAGCCCTCTGCAGGCCAGGAGCTCCACGTGAGAGGACGGTTCCGGGAGAGGCGGGGGAGGGCTGTCAGTGGCTGCCCTACTCGGGGACAGTGAAGCAAGACCACAAGGGTGTCTGTTGCTCCCAGCTCTCTGCTGTCTCTCTGCAGTCTCCCTGGGGCTGCCCGGAAGAAGCCTTCCAGATGTCAGAGGTCCACACAGGGGCTGTTTGTTTGCCTCTGATCACAGACTTGTTTACGAAGCAAGGCTCGCGGAAAGCATTCCTTGTTCAAACAGATGATGAAAACCCTGCAGGAGAAGTCTGTGTCCTTGACTCAGTGTTCCACATCAGTGTTGGTCTCTCCTCAAGAACCTCCCGCTCAGCCACCAGGGCTGGTGGGATGGATTATCTGTCGGTTGAATTAAATGTGTCCTCAGGCTAGAGTCCTGGGGACTTCCAGGCGGGACCAATTTGTCCCCGAGGGAAGAGTTCTAAGGGAGATGGTGACCTCTCTCTCCTCCCTGTCACTTCAGGATGGAGAGGTTTTGGATGACTGTGGATATTCTGCCCCAGAGTTTTTTCTCTCGGGCATCTGTTCATTTTACAACTCTCCTGTCCAGGCCTGGTACTCAACAGGCACTTGGGCCACGCTCTGGGGCACAATGAACCTGCCTGACCCAACGGAGCTCACAGTCTGGTGGAGGAGACAGACACCCCAGGTCACCACTCGTGCATTACATGCGTCAGTTCGGACCAAGCATCTGCCGTGGGAGAGAAGCATGGGGTCTTTGGGGAGCTGACCAGGGTGACCTGGGGTCAGCGACAGCTGGGATACAGAGATCGGAAGGCTGAGCACACGTGACGCGGGAAGGGAGGGCAAGCGAGAGGACGGTGCGTGCGCCGGCGCTGAGGGGAGACAGGTGGGTCAGGGCGTATCTGAGGGGCCACGAGAACCCAGCGTGTGGGTGCAACGTGAGAGCCAGGAGAGAGATTCGGCGGGGACAGGGCAGTCACGCCGGCCTGGTGGAGCCTCAGGCGTGCTGAGAGGTGTGAGCAGGGCCGGAAGCATCGCTCTGTCTCCCTCCTCACGTCGCCGCCCTCTGACCCTCCTGCTCCCCGCAGGGTCTTCCCGAAACAGCTCTTCGCCCATCACACCCCGCTTAGAACCTGCTAACGGCCCTTCGTGATGGGCTGAGTGAGTGAAGTCGCTCAGTTGTGTCACTCTTTGCGACCCCATGGACTGTAGCCTGCCAGGCTCCTCTGTCCATGGGATTTTCCAGGCAAGGGTACTGGAGTGGGTTGCCATTTCCTCCCCCAGAGGTCATGGGAGGCAGCGGTTTATCGCCTTTCCTCTCCCCTGGGCAGTGTCACGCCATGAGCTCTGTAGGGCAGGGGTCGGGCTAACCACCTTTTCTTGTGTTCCCAGCAGTGGCCTGAGCTTGGGCCACCACCAGTCCCATCACCATCATTATCATCACGGCTTCCACTAATTAAGGGGGAACCCCATGCCCTGGTCCAGCCTGACTGGACGCGCAGAGGCTGCAGCTTAGACTCAGAGGAAGTGCTGGGCCCTGGGGTGATGTGTCTGGCTTCCCCAGCGGTCGTCCGAAGGGGGACGACAGTCACTTTCAGGGGAGTTCCGGCTGCAGGGGGTAAATCTGGACCCGTGAGAGGCAGGCGATGGAAGAGGCTCCGTGATCGTTCCTCTGCCTTCCTCTCTCACACGCTGCGCCTCCCAGTGCTGTGGGTCCCGTCAGCTCCCCGGGGCCTTCCCGCGGCTCGGTGACCTCCTGCTCTCTCTCGCAGCTGTGAGCGCCTCAGCAGCGCACCTTGGGTTTGCTTTCGCCCCTTCCTGCTTCTCTCCCGGTTCCCCTGTCCGTGCTCCCCGCCCCCGCTCTGCAGGGAAACAGCAGCACCTACGGCAGGCACCACAGCCTAAGACACGGAGCAGAAACTGAGCGAGCTGCCAACCCACAACCGCTCAGAGTCAGGGGAGGCCTGGCCTCACGTAGCGCTGGAGACGGTGTGGAGCAGCTGGAACTCCTGAATGCTGCTGGTGGGGATGCAATGTGATACCGCCCCTTTGGAAAACAGTTTGGCAGTTTCTTAAAAAGTTAAATACACACCTACCGGATGACCCAACCTCAGACTTGAACCTGAAGGTCTTGTTGTTCAGTCGCTGAGTCGTGTCCGACTCTTTGCAACCCCACGGCCGGCAGCACACCAGGCCTCCCTGTCCTTCAACAACTCCCGGAGTCTACTCAAACTCATGCGAACTGATTTAGACTAGCAGAAAGCAGGTCAGGGTTGCCTGGGGGCAGGGGTGGGGGGAAATGGACTGCAAAGGGCACAAGGAAACTTTTGGGAGGAACGGGACTGTCTGCCATGTTGCTTGTGCTAATGGTTTCATAGGAACAGCTCAATAAAGATGCTATTAAAAAGGGAGGGAAAAAAAAGAAAAGAAAAAAGTCATGAGGTCCAACCAAAACCATAGAGATATGATAATGCCAATGTTATTTAAGGCATTTTAATGGGTAGAGTAATAAGGAAAGCTTCCAAATTCCTTTTATGCAACCAGCATGACTCTGATACCCAAAACCTGGCAAAAACAGCATGTTAATGAAGGGTGTGTGCACGGGTGGAGTTATTATTAACTGTAAATCAGCTACACTGCATCTGACCTAGTTTCAGAAGTAGTCTTTGTTTTCGTTTTTCACGAATTTAATTACGACGTGGCTCTGTGTGGATTTCTATAGGCTTCCCCTGTGTGGGGAGACCGGCAACCAGGTAGGGCAGGAAGAGGAGGCACCCTGGCCTCTAAGACTGATGCCGACAACCGGGCTTCTCACTGGGTGGACCCGGAGCGGGAGAGGGTGCTCAGAGCCCCCACGGGGGTCCCTGATGGCCCCGTGCAGCCTCTCTGCTCACACTGATCCACGCCTACTCCCCACGTCCACAGCTCCAACCTCAGCATGTACCTCCATCTCCTGCCTCTTCTCTAAAAGCCTCCTGCTCCTGCAGTCTCCAGCCTCTCCCTGTGACCCACCCCCACCACGTGCTGATTCCCTGTCCCAGGCTCTGCTCCCGCACGGCCCAGAGGACGAGGTGCACACTTGGGCACACAGCCCAGCAGGGCAGCTTCCCTCTCCACTGCCCGGTGCCCCAGGGTTCGGATCCTGCCGGGGACCCACCACACTGTTCGTGAAGCTGCATCTCTGCAAGGCCAATTGCTCTGCCTGGGGTTCTGCCTTGCCTCTCACGGGCAGGCCGCGGGCTCTCCCCACTCGGCATGGGACCTGGCAGCAGGCAGATGCCCCTGGAGACCTGTCGGGAGAAGATGCTCCCAGACGTCGCTCCGTGGGGCTGGCCCTGCTCAAGACGCTCTACTCCGACTGTGTTCACAAGGAGGGCACACTCCTGAGGGACGGGAGTCACGAGCACGTTATCAAGCCAAGGGGACCGTGAGAGCCTCCCAGTTTGCAGCAAGCTAGTTGGTCAGAATGGTGACCTGGGGAACCCCAGAGTGCAGCTGGCCTCCGAAGAAAGGTAGTCTTGTTGACGGCTGTGCCCTTTAGTGGTGGATTCTCTAGGTGGCTAGTGCCAGCCCTGCACTGAGATGCTAAAATAGATATTAATATTTTCTAAGTGAAAAGGGCCCACAAGAAGAACCCACATCCTTTCAGTAGAATGCCAACTAATAAATGTAGAGCGGATGACTGGAGTGAGAAGGTACCCTTTGCAACCATTGCAGGAACAATCGATTTGAGCAAGACTCATCAAAGCGTGCTAAACCTTGTGGGGGAACATTCGATGAGGTAGAGGATGTTTGCATGACGGGAGAGTAGTCTCACTGTACAAATTATCTACTGATTACAAAGAGGAAAATCGTACCTTCACAGTGGAGACACCTGGACGACACCATTCTAGCCAAGAGATCAAAGTCAACATCACCGATACTGGGACAAATTCACATCCAGGCCTTCTTGATGAGGTCCCTGGAGAAAGACATCACTCCACTGCAGAGGAATCTCTGTTAGAAAGCATTATCTGAGTCAGTCAGAAGGAAACGCCAGACAAACGGGGGCACTTTGTGAAATACTGGCCTGGACTCCTCTCAGGAAAGACAGATTGGGGCTTCCCCGGTGGCTCCGTGGTAGAGACTCCTCCGCCTGCCAATGCAGGAGACGCAGGCTCGATCCCTGGTCTGGGAAGACCCCACGTGCCGCGGAGCAACTGAGCCCGTGCCCCACAGCCACGAGCCTGTGCTCTGCAACAAAGAAGCCACCGCGGCGAGAAGCGCAGCCAAAAGTGGATAAATAAATAAAACTGTTTTATACAAAAGAAAGACAAATAAAGGCTGAGAAACTGTTCTGGATCAAAGGAAACTAAAGAGACATGAAAACTAAATACAGTACACGATTCCAGATTAGATTCTGGGCCAAAAAAAAAAAAATTGCTAAACAAATATTATTGGGACAACTGGTGATATTTGAACATTTGCAGATTAGATAATATTATCGTCTCGATGTTGATTGTACTGCACTTATGTAAATGAATGTTCTTATTCTTAGAAATAGTGAAGTATTTAGGGGTAAAGAGCATCAGGTCTGTGATTCACTCTCAAATAGTTAAGAAGACACAAAATTGTACACGGCAATTTGTTAAATAATAACATATAAAATATAAAGCGATATGTATTAAGTATATAACATGTGGTATATAGAAAGGAAGGAAGGGAGGAAGACAGAGAAACAAAAGAAGGAAGAAAAGATAAGGAAATGGGCAGCACGCGACCATTGATGGGTCTGGGTGAAAGGGATATGGGAGTTCTGGGAGTTCTATGAATTATTCTTGCAACTTTCAGTTAGTTTGAAATTATTTCAAAATATGAAAGTAAAGCAAATAGTGGATACACTTGACCCCGTTTGTAAGTGAGGAAACTGAGGCTCAGCGAGGTTATATATATCAACAGGCCTGAGGATGCTCAGCCGTGGGTTTTGATTTGACTCCTAAGCTTCCTCCCCTCCACACTGGGGTTTGGTTCCAGGGCTGCCAACTGTCACCTGGCCGTGAGCACCTCGGAGCCCTGCCCACTCTGAGTTCCTTGAACCTCTGGGAAAGCTGCCCAGAGTGTTGAGTTGGCCCAGAAACACCATTGACCATCTGGCCATCCCAAGGTCCTCAGTCCTGCCCACCTTTGCGGCTTTGCTCACAACGTTTCCTCCGACTTTTGAAGGGCTGGGCAGCAGCCAAGATGCAGACTCTGGGTTAGGCAGAATCCCAGTCCTGTGATTTGAGCCTGGGGCTTCAGCTCACTCCGTGGACCGCTTATCTGTACCTCCTGGATGGGGCGGGGACTATGCCACGCTGCAGGATGCCCCAGTCACGGTACCCATGAGACCCACGACCATCTTATTAAGATGCAGATTTGGACTCGCAGGCTCCCAGCTGATGCCGTTGCTGCTGGTCCGATGACCACACTTTGAGGAGCAAGGAGTGTGTGCGTGTGGTGCCCTCAATGCAATGCCTTGTTCATAATCAATGTTCCACCGGTTCCACAGTGGCTCAGGTGGTCAAGAATCTGCCTGCGATGCAGGAGACCTGGGTTCGATCCCGGGGTTGGGAAGATCCCCTGGAGAAAGAAGTGGCAACCCGCTCCAGTCTTCTTGCCTGGAGAGTCCTGTGGACAGAGAAACCAGGAGGGCTGCGGCCCAAGGGGTTGCAAAGAGTCGGACACGACCGAGCGACTCAGACAACAACAGCATCGGTGGTAGAAACAATACAGAGAATAATCAAAAGTCACCATCTCTGGAAATCCAGCCCAGGTATTCGCTCCGACCCCTGGCTTTCTCTGATGAAGGACATGCACCAGTTTATTAGCAGGGACAGATTTTTTTTTTTCCTGGCACTGACTTCTAAGAGAAATCGATCACCTGGATCCTCAGATAAGGACCTCCGATTAGAACAAAGGACCACGTCTTCAATCCTGCTGTGGAGGCCAGACACGCGTGAGCTAACAAGAGCGGTCAGGCGGGGTCTCAGGTGCGGGCTGCGTTTGCAGCGCCCTCCTGTCTCAGGGGCCACAGGCTCCCAGCTCCCCGCCTGCCCACCGCACAGGGGCAGCAGTGCCCTCCCCACCGGACTGTCGTGACGGCCGCGGACGGCACATGCCCATCGTGATCACCCGCTCGGTGACGAGACCTTCGGCCTGCACCGGGTGGACCTGCTGAGTGACCAGCTGCTGACGGAGCCCAGCCGGAGCTAAAAAGGACGTGTGTGATCCTTACTGCAGACCTTGGAGGCAGGTGCCATGTTCACCACCAGTGCCCCACTCCGCAGACGAGAAAGGACCGTCCTGCCCCTGGTCAGGCGGCTGGCAGTGAGCACAGCTGGGTTCACCTGCAGGCAGCCAGGTCTTCCTTCTGACAGTGCCTCAGAGAAGACCCTGAATGCGTTTCCTCCCAGTCAGCTGGGTCTAATGCACACACTTACCAAAGCCCAGGGCCTGGAGCTGACTGTCCTTTGCCGGAGGCATTTCTGCAAGGAACTCAGCCAGTTGGTTCTGGGAATGGTGCTTGCTGGTGATCTGGCTGGAGCTTGAGAAGCTGGAGAGGGAAGCAGGCTTGGCTGGGCCTTCACGAGCAGCCTTGTCCAGCGGCCCCATCCCGGAGCCTGTGGAGACCCCGGCCCCAGTGTGCAGCCGGATGTGACCTTGCGGCTGTCAGTCTGGCTGAATCGCTGGCCACTCCCCTACACCTTCCTCATCCTGCAGCGTGGCCCTGGAATAGCCCTGGCTCTCCCCAACCCCTCTCACATAAATCCCTCCCTGGGGAAGGGGGGATTCGGTTCCTGGGCCAGGCACTGTGTGAGCACCAGTTTCATCCCGCCTGTGGCCAGCAAGGGAGAGGCTGTGAGCCCCCAGTTTACAGACGGGGCTCAGATGGAGGGGCATGTGTGCGCTCTCGTGCGTGACCGACCCGGGGGCTGAGCCCTGGTTCCACCGTCCTCCTGTTCTGCTGGCTACCGTGACCTTGCGTCCACACACCTCCAAGAGCCCGCGCGTTTGTGTCAGAGGGAGGAGCAGCGCTGGGGTGCTCAGGAGATGGGGACCAGGGCCGTCCCCAGTCCTCGGGGCCGGGGGCGCTGACTCAGCGCGAGTCCACATCCACGCCCAGGGACTGGCTCGGCGATGTCCGGCTGGTCAGAGCTAATCCTGGGCTGCTGCTGGGACCACGGAGAACAGGGGCCCTCTTGCTGTTGAGGTTACCGGGCAGACAGGACGCTAGCCTGCAGCCGTGGGGGCACCTTAGCCACCCCACGGGGAGGGACCCACCTGCCGGGGAAGCCACGCCCGAGGGGAGCGGAGCCAAGGCACAGGACTGCTGACCGCATCCTCTGAGGCCCTGTAAGCGCCTGTTCACACTGCCCGCGACACGCAGCGCTGACCTCCCCGAGCAGCCCCTGCTGCTCCCGGCCTGAAGCGAAACCTCGCTGCAGCTTTCACTGACTGGTTCAGTCCTTCCAATCCGAGGGGCGGCAGAAGGCTCTGAGGGCAAGTGGATCTGGTTTCATAACCCAGTGCTGACATTTACTTGTCAAATCTCGATGAAAACTGGAAATACAGCCATGCAGGAGGGACGCTGTGGGCATGCAAGAGCTATTGCCCGCGCTTGACCCCTGCTAGCCTGTCATGTCGTCACTGTGGCCTTTGTTACCAGACTGAGGCCCCAGACAGCAGGGACCTCAGGTTCCCCAGCACCCGGCCTGAGTGCTCAGGCACCCCAGTCATATCTGACTCTGTGCCACCCCGTAGACCACAGACCACCCGGCTCCTCTCTCCGTGGGCCTTCTGCAGGCAAGAACACTGGAGCGGGCTGCCATGCCCTCCTCCAGGGGACCTTCCTGACCCAGGGATCGAACCCACGTCTCTTACATCCCCTGCATTGGCAGGTGGGTTCTTTACCACCAGCACCATCTCAATACACACTTGTTCAGACAAATCTGAAGTACATTCTGCACCCCCAGCCCCCCGGCAGCAGAGAGCTGCTGGGGGCAGCTGATCCGTCACCTCAAGCCTTCTCTTCTCGTCCCTGCCCTCAGCACCATTTCTTTACACAAAAGATTTTTCTTCTGAAAAAAGTACTAACTCAATTATTCTGTGAATATTTATCAGTTACAACCAAAGGAATGAAAATAAGATCCCACGGTATGAAAAACCCCTGATGTTTAGGTTTCCAACATGATATTCAACTGTTTTCCTTATTTGATGTTTTTCTCCAGAAACTGAACAAAACCAATCTGCCCTGAAGTCTGGAAATGTGATCCCGTTCCCACAGTGTCTCTTGCTGTCTGCTGGGAGTGGTGTGGGCACACTTGGCAGTCACCACGGGCTGCTGAAAGGGGACGAGCAGGTAATGGGAAGCAGCTGCTTGGCCTGCACGTGGCTCGAAGCCCCAGATTGGTGACGAGGTGCCGCAGACAAAAGACAGGCAGCTGTGGTTTGGGCGGAGGGCCCCCGAGCAGCCAAGTTCACCCGGCGAGGCAGGGTCGGCTCGGCTGGCCCCCGTGCGCCAGGCGGCTCGTCCCGTGTACACAGTTTCCGTGCTAGAGCCGCGAGCACCCGGAGGCGCTGAAGGAAGGCCTCGCTGTCCTCTGGGCCCTGCGGCAGCTTGTAGCTCTCCTCCAAGATGCGACCCACCCGGCGGCCAGAACAACCTCTGCCTGCATCAATTGCACCAGAGGTCATCACGTTACCCTTAAAGGGCCAGAGAGTAAGTATGAGAAACACCCAAAGGCTTTGGGGGCCAGGCAGCCTCCGTCCCAACCACCGTGCAGCTCTGCTGATGCAGCCTGCAAGTGGCCACAGACACCATGGAAACAAACGGGTGAGACCGGGTTCCAATAAAACTTTATTTTCAAAACAGAGGTGGCAAGCTGGACTGGGCCCTCAGGCTGCAGTCAGTGGCTCATCAGTGCCTCTGTTCAGAATCCTGCAACAGCTCCCCATCCCCACAGAGTCAAACCCAGCTCCCAATGTGGGCGGCAAGGAGCTGCGGGGCAGGTGGGTCCCCCAGGGCCACGTGAAGCGCCTTCCGGCCTCCAGGCCTTTGCGCTGGCTGCTTCCTCCGCCTAGGACACTCTTGGGCCCACTTCTCACTGTTCCATGACTCACCATTCCCGTTATTGAGGTCTCACAAAGACCATTCTTTCAGCTCTCCGAAGTGACGGTGGGCTCCCTCCCTACTCTCTTTTTAAAATGTATGATGTATTTGTTTTTGACCGTGCTGGGTCTTCGCTGCTGCCTGGGCTTCTCTCTAGGCGCGGTGCGTGGGATTCTCACCGAGCGGGCTTCTCTTCTTGCGGAGCACAGGCTTCCGCAGCCGTGGCTCCCGGCTCCTGGAGCACAAGCTCAGGGGTTGCGCCGCACGGGCTTAGCTGCTCGGTGGCACGTGGGATCCTCCTGGACTGGGGATCGACCCCGTGTCTCCTGCACGCGCAGGCAGATTATTTATCACTGGGCCATCACGGAAGCCCCCTGCTAGCTCTTTATCAGAACACCCTGTCTTATTTTCTGCATAGCAGACACCACCGTCTGAATGAATCTCTTCTCTGTTTTAAATTAATTGATTAGTTTTATTTATCTATTTATTTAATTTTTTGGCCACACAGCAAAGCTTGCAGGATGTTCCCTGACCACAGGCTGAGCTCAGGCCCGGGACCACTAAGCCATCCGGGGACTCTGGAGTGACCTCTTCCCTTTGTTCACCTTTCCGGAGTCCTCTCGTAGGCTGGGGGAGGGGGGGAACCTGCGGTCCAGTGGGTCTGCACACAGGCTTGGAGGGCGGCGCTCTGTGCCGGAGGGAGAAGCGGGTGGATGGACAGGCCATCCAGTAGCCTCCCAGGCCACTTCCCCGCCCTCCATTCCCAGGATCCCACATCGCTCTGCTGACAGAGCTAGCTTTCACAGTGACTATCTGTCCCCCCCACCACTGCTTAAACCCTCCAGTGACTCCCAGTGCTCAAAGTGCAAGCTCCCCGCTGCCCCAGGCCCTGCGCAGCGGACAGCTGCCTGCCTCTCCTCGCCCGACTCTCGTTTGGAAGACAGGCTGCCCTGAGGGTCCACGGACGTGACCCAAAGGACACCACAAGCGCGGCGGTGTTTTTGCATGATCAGAAAACAGCCTGTGTTCCAGGAATTCACTTTGAACAAAAGGATGAGGCTGTGAACACCTGACTCATGACAGGCCGGGAACCCATCCAGTTTCCTCCAGTCACCCGGCCCAGATCAGGCTCTTGCGGTGACGCACTCGGGGCAGAAAGGGAGAATGTGATCTCTTCAGACTGACGCCAAGGCCTGGTGGGGTTGGCAGGGGAGGCGGGTGGGTTGTGAAACGCACAGCTTTCAGCGCTCGTTCTGGGCTGACTGTCGGGGGAAGGCGGAAGCAGAGCGGCAGCCTGGCGCTGTGCGCACCTGTGTGGCTGTGTAGACGGGACTGTGTGGATGACACGGGGTGGATGACACAGTGTAGACGGGACTGTGTAGACCTTACTGTGTAGACGGGACTGTGTAGACGGTGCTGTGTAGATGGGACTGTGTAGACGGGACTGTGTAGATGGGTCTGTGTAGACGGGACTGTGTAGACCTCACTGTGTAGATGGGACTGTGTTGACGGGACTGTGTAGACGGGACTGTGTTGACGGGACTGTGTAGACGGGACTGTGTAGATGGGACTGTGTAGACGGGACTGTGTAGACCTCACTGTGTAGACGGGACTGTGTAGACCTCACTGTGTAGACGGGACTGTGTTGACGGGACTGTGTTGATGGGACTGTGTAGACGGGACTGTGTAGATGGGACTGTGTAGATGGGACTGTGTAGACGGGACTGTGTAGACCTCACTGTGTAGACGGGACTGTGTTGATGGGTCTGTGTAGACGGGACTGTGTAGACCTCACTGTGTAGATGGGACTGTGTAGACGGTGTGTGTAGATGGGACTGTGTAGACAGGACTGTGTAGATGGGTCTGTGTAGACAGGACTGTGTAGACCTCACTGTGTAGACGGGACTGTGTTGACGGGACTGTGTAGACAGGACTGTGTAGATGGGACTGTGTAGACAGGACTGTGTAGACCTCACTGTGTAGACGGGACTGTGTAGACCTCACTGTGTAGACGGGACTGTGTAGACAGGACTGTGTAGATGGGACTGTGTAGATGGGTCTGTGTAGACGGGACTGTGTAGACCTCACTGTGTAGATGGGACTGTGTTGACGGGACTGTGTAGACGGGACTGTGTAGATGGGACTGTGTAGACGGGACTGTGTAGACGGTGCTGTGTAGATGGGACTGTGTAGACAGGACTGTGTAGATGGGACTGTGTAGACCTCACTGTGTAGACGGGACTGTGTTGACGGGACTGTGTAGACGGGACTGTGTAGACGGGACTGTGTAGATGGGACTGTGTAGATGGGTCTGTGTAGACGGGACTGTGTAGACCTCACTGTGTAGATGGGACTGTGTTGACGGGACTGTGTAGACGGGACTGTGTTGACGGGACTGTGTAGACGGGACTGTGTAGATGGGACTGTGTAGACGGGACTGTGTAGACGGTGCTGTGTAGATGGGACTGTGTAGACAGGACTGTGTAGATGGGACTGTGTAGACCTCACTGTGTAGACGGGACTGTGTTGACGGGACTGTGTAGACAGGACTGTGTAGATGGGACTGTGTAGACCTCACTGTGTAGACGGGACTGTGTAGATGGGACTGTGTAGACGGGACTGTGTAGACGGGACTGTGTAGACCTCACTGTGTAGACGGGACTGTGTAGACAGGACTGTGTAGACGGGACTGTGTAGATGGGACTGTGTAGACGGGACTGTGTAGATGGGACTGTGTAGACAGGACTGTGTTGACGGGACTGTGTAGACGGGACTGTGTAGATGGGACTGTGTAGACCTCACTGTGTAGATGGGACTGTGTTGACGGGACTGTGTAGACAGGACTGTGTGGATGGGACTGTGTAGACCTCACTGTGTAGACGGGACTGTGTAGATGGGACTGTGTAGATGGGACTGTGTAGACGGGACTGTGTTGATGGGACTGTGTAGATGGGACTGTGTAGACGGGACTGTGTAGACCTCACTGTGTAGACGGGACTGTGTAGACGGTGCTGTGTAGATGGGACTGTGTAGACGGTGCTGTGTAGATGGGACTGTGTAGACGGTGCTGTGTAGATGGGACTGTGTAGACAGGACTGTGTAGATGGGACTGTGTAGAACTCACTGTGTAGACGGGACTGTGTTGACGGGACTGTGTAGACGGGACTGTGTAGATGGGACTGTGTAGACAGGACTGTGTAGACCTCACTGTGTAGACGGGACTGTGTAGACAGGGCTGTGTAGATGGGACTGTGTAGATGGGTCTGTGTAGACGGGACTGTGTAGACCTCACTGTGTTGACGGGACTGTGTAGACGGGACTGTGTTGACGGGACTGTGTTGACGGGACTGTGTAGACGGGACTGTGTAGACGGTGCTGTGTAGATGGGACTGTGTAGACAGGACTGTAGATGGGACTGTGTAGACCTCACTGTGTAGACGGGACTGTGTTGACGGGACTGTGTAGACAGGACTGTGTTGACGGGACTGTGTAGACAGGACTGTGTAGATGGGACTGTGTAGACCTCACTGTGTAGACGGGACTGTGTAGATGGGACTGTGTAGACCTCACTGTGTAGACGGGACTGTGTAGATGGGACTGTGTTGATGGGACTGTGTAGATGGGACTGTGTAGACGGGACTGTGTAGACCTCACTGTGTAGACGGGACTGTGTAGACGGGACTGTGTAGATGGGACTGTGTAGACGGGACTGTGTAGATGGGACTGTGTAGACAGGACTGTGTAGACCTCACTGTGTAGACGGGACTGTGTAGACAGGGCTGTGTAGATGGGACTGTGTAGATGGGTCTGTGTAGACGGGACTGTGTAGACCTCACTGTGTAGACGGGACTGTGTTGACGGGACTGTGTAGACGGGACTGTGTTGACGGGACTGTGTAGACGGGACTGTGTAGACGGTGCTGTGTAGATGGGACTGTGTAGACAGGACTGTAGATGGGACTGTGTAGACCTCACTGTGTAGACGGGACTGTGTTGACGGGACTGTGTAGACAGGACTGTGTTGACGGGACTGTGTAGACAGGACTGTGTAGATGGGACTGTGTAGACCTCACTGTGTAGACGGGACTGTGTAGATGGGACTGTGTAGACCTCACTGTGTAGACGGGACTGTGTAGATGGGACTGTGTAGACAGGACTGTGTTGATGGGACTGTGTAGATGGGACTGTGTAGACGGGACTGTGTAGACCTCACTGTGTAGACGGGACTGTGTAGACGGGACTGTGTAGATGGGACTGTGTAGACGGGACTGTGTAGACAGGACTGTGTTGACGGGACTGTGTAGACGGGACTGTGTAGACAGGAGTGTGTTGACGGGACTGTGTAGACGGGACTGTGTAGATGGGACTGTGTAGACCTCACTGTGTAGACGGGACTGTGTTGACGGGACTGTGTAGACCTCACTGTGTAGACGGGACTGTGTAGATGGGACTGTGTAGACCTCACTGTGTAGACGGGACTGTGTAGATGGGACTGTGTAGACAGGACTGTGTTGATGGGACTGTGTAGACGGGACTGTGTAGACGGGACTGTGTAGATGGGACTGTGTAGACGGGACTGTGTAGACGGTGCTGTGTAGATGGGACTGTGTAGACAGGACTGTGTAGATGGGACTGTGTAGACCTCACTGTGTAGACGGGACTGTGTTGACGGGACTGTGTAGACGGGACTGTGTAGACGGGACTGTGTAGACGGGACTGTGTAGACGGGTCTGTGTAGACGGGACTGTGTTGACGGGACTGTGTTGACGGGACTGTGTTGATGGGACTGTGTAGACGGGTCTGTGTAGACGGGACTGTGTAGACCTCACTGTGTAGACGGGACTGTGTAGATGGAACTGTGTTGACGGGACTGTGTAGACGGGACTGTGTAGATGGAACTGTGTTGACGGGACTGTGTTGACGGGACTGTGTTGACGGGACTGTGTAGACGGGACTGTGTAGATGGAACTGTGTTGACGGGACTGTGTTGACGGGACTGTGTTGACGGGACTGTGTAGACGGGACTGTGTTGACGGGACTGTGTTGACGGGACTGTGTTGACGGGACTGTGTAGACGGGACTGTGTAGATGGAACTGTGTTGACGGGACTGTGTAGATGGAACTGTGTTGACGGGACTGTGTTGACGGGACTGTGTAGACGGGACTGTGTAGACGGGACTGTGTAGATGGAACTGTGTTGACGGGACTGTGTAGATGGAACTGTGTTGACGGGACTGTGTTGACGGGACTGTGTAGACGGGACTGTGTAGATGGAACTGTGTTGACGGGACTGTGTAGATGGAACTGTGTTGACGGGACTGTGTTGACGGGACTGTGTAGACGGGACTGTGTAGACCTCACTGTGTTGACGGGACTGTGTTGACGGGACTGTGTAGACAGGACTGTGTAGATGGGTCTGTGTAGACGGGACTGTGTAGACGGGACTGTGTTGACGGGACTGTGTAGACGGGACTCTGTTGACGGGACTGTGTAGACGGGACTGTGTAGACGGGACTGTGTTGACGGGACTCTGTTGACGGGACTCTGTTGACGGGACTGTGTAGACGGGACTGTGTAGACGGGACTGTGTTGACGGGACTGTGTAGACGGGACTGTGTAGATGGGACTGTGTAGACCTCACTGTGTAGACGGGACTGTGTAGATGGAACTGTGTTGACGGGACTGTGTAGACCTCACTGTGTTGACGGGACTGTGTTGACGGGACTGTGTTGACGGGACTGTGTAGACGGGACTGTGTAGATGGGACTGTGTAGACCTCACTGTGTAGACGGGACTGTGTAGACGGGACTGTGTTGACGGGACTGTGTAGACGGGACTGTGTAGATGGGACTGTGTAGACCTCACTGTGTTGACGGGACTGTGTAGATGGGTCTGTGTAGACGGGACTGTGTAGACGGGACTGTGTAGATGGGACTGTGTTGACGGGACTGTGTAGACGGGACTGTGTAGATGGAACTGTGTTGACGGGACTGTGTTGACAACACTGTGCTGGCTGCACTGAGGTGAGAGACCAGAAAGCTGCCACTTTAGCGCTTCTTCTCCAATCAACCTCGGGAGTAACATCAAAGTGGCCTAAATTAGCGCTGACTGGCTCACGGATGCCGCCTAACACAGGGACTCGATGTGAGCAGAAGAGATGACAAAGGCACTTCCATCTCAGGTGTGTGCTGGGAGCGACCCTGAAGCACCTGCTCTTCCGAGCTGACGCTCATCATGCAGTGCCAACAGAGCGCCCACTCTGGGGCCTGATTAAAGCCGGCCGCTGTACGGGGAATCACGCCTGCCAGGCTTGTGAGTGACTACTTCCTGTCTCTGACCGCCGAGCCTATTTGGCTTCCACTTGCTCTCACTTGACCTCTCCTGACCTACTGTGAGCTCTTATCTCCCGCCCCGAGCAGCTCCCCCTTTACGATGGTCTCCAGATTTTGCCCGTCCTGACTCTGGGGTCCTGGCTCTCCTTCTCGGGCTTGGCCTCGCTTGCTCGCCCCTCACTGCGGGTGGGTAAGCCGGGCCCCGGGCCCCCAGAGCAGGGGGGAGGCAGGCAGTGCTAACGGGACAGATGCGGTCTCCCCGCCCCACGCGCCTGCACCTCTTCCACAAGTGCCATCCCCCCGTCACCCCCCTCCACCAGAGCACCCCCAAGGCCAGGAAACGCTGACGTCCTGGGCCTGTCCTTGTCGCTCTCTGACAACACTCTCAGAGAACACGAGCTGTCGAAAGGCTTGAGAGCAGCCCTGAAGCCATCTGTTTCCTGCAGGGTGCTGACTCCGGGTGTGAGCTCCGAGGCGGCTGTCAGCATCCATTCTGCCTCTCACTCGCTGGGACCGGCGTCGGAGCCTGCCACATGAGCTCATCGCTTCCCCTTCTCGCCGGCACAGGCTCCTCTGCTTCTCCTGCCTCTGGCCATTCATGCTCAGCAGATAACTGCGGCCACGGCCCCGTGTGGGACACGGGCAGGGTTCCGAGCGAGCCAGATATAGCCTGTTATCGCTGCGGTTACAGTGTGTGGGCTCATTGAGAAGTTTCAGGACACTTTATCAATGAGGGCCGCTGTGCCAGGAGCTCTGGCGTGGCTCATGTGAAGGAGCGGAGGTGCAGATGAAGGCTGTGGAGACAGCCGGCCTGCTTATCTGGCGTGCTTTCCCGGTGAGGTCAGACAGCAGCGCCACGCCGTCTCCCCTGGTGGAAGCAAACCACAGAAGGCCAGGGCCGGATGCCCGGGGAGGCTTCACGGAGGGAGAAAGGACACCCAGCGTGAGGACAGGCCTTGCCCAGGGGCCTGCAGGGAGGTCAGGTCAGAGACTCAGGTCTACAGAAGAAGAGCCCCACTGCCCTCTGCAAGCAGTGTCAGGCTTCCAAGGAGGAGCGGGGGGGTTGAGGGTGTGAATGCCTTGCTTTTCTGCCTTTAAAAACATAAAGAGGTCAGCGGGAAGTCAGGAACGAGCTGTTTCTTTAGAATCTCACTCGAAGCAGGACTTTTCATTCCCATCAAGTGTCTGTATTTTAAAAATAATTTCATTCAGGACTTCCCTGATGGTCCAGTGGTAAAGAACCCACCTGCCAGGGCAGGGGACAGGGCTTTGAGCACCAGTCCGGGAAGATCCCACATGCCTCGGAGCAGCCAAACCTGCGTGCCACAGTCACTGCGTTTGCGCTCTGGGGCCTGTGCTCCGCACGAGAGACGCCACCGCGATGAGAGCCTGGGCGCCGCCACGAGCAGCAGCCTGGACGCCCAGCAGCTAGAGAGGAGCCGCATGGCAGCGGAGACCCGGCGCAGCCAACGCTGAGTAACAAACAGATGCGGATTTCGTGTTTAAAAAATGATAACCTCACTCGTTTTCAGATTTTCTTGTGTACATATAAAATGACATTAGAAGAAGCACACTGAGAACTATTAAGTGACGATAGTTTTTATGTCAGTGGCACTGCATGATTCAAACAGAAAACTGGGTTAACTCCACTGATGTTGGTTTTTTTAAAAATCCAATCCAATTCATTGACGTTCATTCAGCCAAAGGTGACATGTGTGACAGTATTGTGAAGGCTACTGTAAATTTAAAGTGCAACTCTAGAGAAAAAAAAAAAATCATCTGTTTTTGAGGTGGTAACATGTATAAAAATTTTATTGGTACACAGAATCATGATAAAACAACGTTCTGCTAAACAGAATTGCATTGCGGGTGGGTTCTTCACCAACTGAGCTATCAGAGAAGCCCTCTATTCTAATGCTGCTGCTGCTAAGTCGCTTCAGTCGCGTCCGACTCTGCGAACCCATAGACGGCAGCCCACTAGGCTCCCCTGTCCATGGGATTCTAATGAGTAGAATTGATCGTGGTATACACAGACCTCATAGTTGTCTCCAAATAAGCTGCAGTATTAAATATATGAAGGTTTGTATAGCCCTGTACTTAGAGTAACTATGTTAGAGTATTTTCATGATAAATGGTGAAAACAAAAACAAAAAATTCCCAGTTCACAGCTCTAATGACTAGATGAGTTCCCCAGCTATCCATGAGATCCATGGGGAAGGAAGACATCTATCTGTGCCCACTGATCCGTCTATAAGTACGTACTGAGCGTGCCCACCCATTCCTGTAGCAGCCCTGCTCCAAGCACCAGGGCTGTGGAGGTGAACCAGACGTCCGGGTCCCACTCCCACAGAACTCACGGGGGTGGTGGGTAATAAGCAAATAAGAACAGAGAATGTAGAGAAAATAGAATTTTGGATAATGATAGGTGCTTTGAAAAAAAATTATAAAGCACATTAAAGGCACAGAAAGTTCAGAGGACGTGGGTGGTTGTTGATACAGGGTGGCCAAGGGGGTACTGCAGAGAAGCTGACATTTGAGCAGAAATCTGAAGAAATAAAGAAGCAAGCTTCGCGGGCACTCTGGGGAGTCGTGCAGGCAGGAAAGAAACACTGCAAAGGGCCTGAGGCAGGAGTGAGCTCGAATACAGCATGCAGCGCCAGGGAGGAGGCCCAAGCTGATAATGTTGATTTGTGGGTTGTTGACCTACAGGAGGCCTTTAAAACCTTCTAAGAGATACAACAAAACCTTCTAAAAGGCAATATGATGAAATGACCAAGGAAGTGAGTGTGGCCGGAGCAGAGGAGCTGGGGGAGAGAGCGCCTCAAGGAGAGTCTAAGCTGTGTCCCTGCTGAGGAGTGTCAGGAAGGAATGAGGGACCATCAGCCATGGGAGTCAGCGACTCGGAAGCCTCCGCTGGCCCTGGTGGACGGTCTCAATGAAATAACAGGTACAGAGGCCTCACTCTGAGGTCAGGAGGAGAGGAGGTCCTCACCACCTGCAGACAGGAAGTGAGGACAAGTCTTTTGAAGACTTTTGCTATCTAGGGTTAGCACTAGGGTACAGGGTCAAGACAGGAGACAGCTCTCAAAGCTCCTTGAAATACAGCTCCTCCCACCCACCCCAGATTCCACATCCCCATGGCCAGGACAGAAGCCAGCTTGGAGTGCTCCTAGCAAGGCCTTCTCCCTCCCACCCAACCCTCAGAACCTCCCCACTGCCACCCATCTGCTCTGGAGACAGTCAGGGCCCATCGCAACACTGCTGTGTGGTTGTCAAAAGAGAGATATTAATCATATGTATTATATACAATAAAGGTGCCAAGACAACTTACTGTAAGCACAAAATGGACAAAGTGTCCTCTAAAAGAGAATAATGGAGGAAAATGATTATATTAGAAGTCTTGGAGAAAGGCTTTCTCAGGAAGTGGCTTTAAAGCTATAAGTAAGAATCTACCATGCAACAAACGATGGGAAGACCCCTGCAGTGGAAACGCATGTGCAAAGGTTCTGAGGTGAGATGCAGCATTGAAAGCTACAAAACTGGAGGAGGACCGGGAGGACGGGGCCTCTGGGAGGTCGGGGTCAGGTTTTGCAGGGTCCTGCAGACTGTTAGCGGAGGAGGCAATGGCACCCCACTCCAGTACTCTTGCCTGGAAAATCGCATGGACGGAGGAGCCTGGTGGGCTGCGGTCCATGGGGTCGCTAAAAGTTGGACACGACTGAGCGACTTCAGTTTCACCTTTCACTTTCATGCATTGGAAAAGGAAGTGGCAACCCACTCCAATGTTCTTGCCTGGAGAATCCCAGGAACGGGGGAGCCTGGTGGGCTGCCATCTATGGGGTCGCACAGAGTCGGACACGACTGAAGCGACTTAGCAGCAGCAGCAGACTGTCAGAGAAGGCTTTGGGTTTTCTTTTTCATTCCAAGTACAATGGGCAGCCACTCAACGAGCAAACCATTATGTCCATCTAAGCACTCACTATTTTATGCTTGAAAAGAAAGGAAAACAGAAGCAAGACATGAAGCTTCCTTGAGGAAATGGGGACAGACAGGGCCTCTTCTACTCCTAACACTTGGTTCCCATATAATGGCCACTGTTTGAAAGTGCACATTGAACCTTTTTTTTTTTTTTTTGTACACTGCATCTTAAAAGACAGCACTCCAGAGTGAAAATGGCAGAGTAGGGAACTATAAAATTTCATTATTCCACAAAAGGAGCAAATAAATTGGCAGGAGAACCAAATGTATTGGGACTTGAGAAACTAATGAAATGCTCACAGCAACCAGGAGAATGCTTAATCAAAGAAAAAAACTGCCAGAATCTTAATAATAGAGCCTTGTGGTGTTCTGACTTACCCTGACTCAGCAGTGGCCTTGAAAACAACCACCTACATTCGTGGTATAGTGTCTAGTATATAATGCAACAGAATAAATCTAACCCCCAAAGAATTGTGGTTGTTCGCTTTGACCTGTCTTGTGGCTCCCTAAAGGGCCAATTCTTTATTGTAGCTACCACTAAACTCTCTAAGGACTGAGGCAGTTATCCACAGGGCATTTGTCAAAAACATTTAAAGGTAAATGTATTAATTGCTGCCACTTTAGGCAAAGGATAATAGTTGGGACAAACTATAGACAAATCAAAAAACTTAGGACGAAAGACTACAGATGGAGACATTTTAGGGGAGGGTTTTAAAAGCTGGGAATCTAGAAGGTCACCTGTACGCCCAGGAATGAATACCAGCTCAGGAAAGACCTGTGATTATTGCTGCTCAGTCACAAGTCATGTCTACCTATTTGTGACCTCACAGACTGCAGCATGCCAGGCTTCCCTGTCTTTCACTATCTTTCGGAGTTTGCTCAAACTCATGGTCACTGAGTTGATAATGCCATCCAACCATCTCATCCTCTGTCACCCTTCTCCTCCTGCCTTCAATCCTTCCCAGCATCAGGTTCTTTTTCAATGACTCGGCTCTTCACATCAGGTGGCCAAATTATCGGAGCTTCAGCATCAGTCCTTCCAATGAATATTCAGTGTGATTTCCTTTAGGATTGACTGGTTGGATCTCCTTGCTGTCCAAGGGACTCTCAAGCATCTTCTTCAGCGCCACATTTTGAAGGCATCCGTTCTTCAGTGCTCAGCCTTCTTTATGGTCCAACTCGCACATCCATACATGACGACTAGGAAAACCATAGCTCTCACTACACTGACCTTTGTTGGCAAAGTGATGTCTCTGCTTTTTAATACGCTGTCAAGGTTTGTCATAGCTTTTCTTCCAAGGAGCAAGCATCTTTTATTTTCATGGCTATAGCCATCGTCTGCAGTGATTCTGTAGCCCAAGAATATGAAATCTGTCACTGTTCCCACTTCCCCCATCTGTTTGCCGTGGAGGGACAGGACCACAGGCCGTGACCTTAGTCACCTGAATGTTGAGTTTTAACTCAGCTGTTTCACTCTCCTCTTTCACTCTCACCTCTGGCTGACCTTGAAGCTCTCCACAAGCAGGAGGCAAAGATTAAGGCATAATTGTGAAATACCTGGCTGAGATCTGAAGGTATGGCCCAACACACACATGAAGTCTATTGGCATAAACTGGGAGATTTTGTTGTTGTTATAAGCAAAGAATACAAATTATGTTTTCTTGTCATGTAAGGCTATTGAAATTTGTCAAATCATTAGCTGACCATTGTCTAACAGAACAGAGACTTCAGTGGCTGCATACAGCAAGGAATATCGACTTTACAAACTTAATTCAGGAAAGAAAGCCAAGCACAGAAACACCAACGACAACGGCAACAGTGAACTCTAGAGCGGGGAGAAAGCGATTTCTAGAGCTGCCACATTAGATTAAAAACGTCCAGTTTTCGGGACTTCTCTGGTGGCTCACTGGTGAAGAATCCACCTGCTGATGTAGGGAACATGGGTTTGATTCCTGGTCCAGGAAGATCCCACATGCCCCGGGACAACTAAGCCCATGTGCCACAATTCCTGAAGCCTGCGTGCACACAGCCCACGCTCCGCAACAAGAGAAGCCACTGCAAGAAGTCCGTGCATCACAACCAGAACATAGCCTCTGCTCAGTGCAACTAGAGAAGGCCCTCACGTACAATCAAGACCCAGTGCAGCCATAAATAAACCAATGAATCCTTAAAAATGTCCAGTTTTCAACAAAAAATTAGGTGCCGTGCAAAGATACAAGACAGTATGCTTTATACACAGGAAAAAAAAATGAATAGAGACGTTCCATGAGGAAGCCAAGACATTGAACTCACTTTAAAAAAGTCTATAAGTCAACTATTTAAAAATATGTTCCAAAAAAACTAAAGGAAACACTGAGAATAATGTGTCAATAAATAGAAGCTATCAATACAGAGACAGAAGCTATATGAGAAACTAGAGAGAAATTCTGAAGTTGAAAAGTACAATAACTACAATGAAAATTTTATTAGAGAGGTAAACAGCATATTGGAGCAGGCAGAAGCAAGATTCAGCAAACTTAAAGATAGGGTGATTGATTGAGATTTCCTAGTCTGAGCAGCAGGAAAAAAAAACAATAAAGAAAAATGAAGAGAGCCTAAGAGACTTGTAGTAAAGCATTAAGCATACAAACATATGTTACATAAATCCCAGAAGGAGAGCAGAGAAAGGAGCAGAAAGAATATCTGAAATAATAATGGCCAAAAATGCTGCAGATTTGATGAAACATAAGAATATATGTTTCATGTACGTCCAATATATGTTTCACAAACATCCAAGAATCTCAATGAGCCTCAAGATCCTCACTGAGACACGCTGTAACCAAACTGCTGAGAGCCAAGGGTAGAATCCTGAAGGCAGTTGCGAGAGCTGACTCAACATGTACAGAACTCTAAATAAGATTCATTGCTGATTTCACTTCAGGAATCATGAAGGCCAGAAGGTAGTGGGAAGACACATTCAGAGTGCTAAAAGAATAAAATGGTCAACCAAAATTTCTATACCCAGGGGAACTACCCTTCAAAAATGAAAGAGAAATGAAGACTTTCAGATAAACAAAGACAGAAAGTTTGTTGCCTGGAGACCTATCCTACAAGAAATGCTAAAGGGTGGCCTTCAGGCTAAGTGGAAGAACAGTAAACGGTGACTTGCATCTGCGGAAGAGAAAAAGAGCAGCAGTAAAAGTAATCACATAAGTAAACGTAAAAGTCTATTTTAAAGCATTTGTGGTCTGTAACTCCTCTGTTTTTCCTGTATAATTCAAAGGACAACTACATAAAACAAAAATTTTAAATATATTAATGGGCACACAGTGTATAAAGATGTAATCTGTGACAATGACAATATCTATATGCTGTCTACAGAGACCTACTTTGGATCCAAAGACACAAATAGGTTGAAAGTGAAAGGATGGAAAAAGATATTCCACATAAATGGTAACTTAAAGAATCGGAGTGGCTATACTGAAATGGGCTTCCCTCATAGCTCAGTTGGTAAAGAACCTGCCTGCAATGCAGGAGACCCAGGTTCGATTCCTGGGTCAGGAAGATCTCCTGGAGAAGGAAATGGCAACCCACTCCAGTATTCTTGCCTGGAGAATCCCATGGACGGAGGAGACCATGGGTTGCAAGAGGCAGACACGACTCTTGCATGTGACTGAACCAGATACTGAAGCAGACAAAATAGACTTCAAGACATAAATTATAACAAGAGATTATGACACTATATAATGATAGAAGAGTACTTTTGTTAGGTTGCACTCCAGTCTTGTAGTCCATCACCCCCCGGCTGGCATCTTAACTTTGCCTCTAGGAGGCTCTTCCAGCACTCTGGAGGGCCCAGGGCAGCTTCTGGTGACACCTTCCTGCGGAGATCAGTGGGTCCTGGATCATGCGCCCATTGTCACACACCCTTAGTCATTAAGTGGGTCCCTTGGTGATGTGGGACTTCCTGGTGGCTCAACAGTAAAGAATCTGCCTGCAATGTGGGAGGCCTGGGTTCAATCCCTGAGTTGGAAAGATCCCCTGGATAAGGAAATGGCAACCCACTCCAGTACTCCTGCCTGGAGAATCCCATGGACGGAGGAGCCTGGCGGGCTCCAGTCCACGGGATTGCAGAGTCGGACACAACTGAGCGACTAACACTTTGACTTTCTTTGGTGATGTGGGATCTTATGGAGATAAGGCAGACCCTCTGTGCGTGCTCCGATGGTGGTGCTGGCCGGGGAGGTGATGAGAAGCAGACGTCGGCTGCCCTGCCGGAAGCTGGCTATAGATTCAATGTGCTCTAAAGGTCTGATGGGATGAGCGTGGGGGAGCAACAGTGCATTTATCAAAAGAGAAGTTCTAGCCCCTGAAAATCTTCCTACCCGAGGTATCCTAGGCAAGGCAATGTTAGCACTTCGGGGAGGGGACCCCTGGAAAAATGAGATGTCTTTCTATATCTATCAAAAAACAAAGCTCCATTTATGGTGCAACATGGTTAGCACCTGTGTACACTGTCCATGGATTCTTTTAGATGCTCTTGAGGGTGAATATCCTCACTGTGCAAATCGAGGAGCTGTTGCCTGTAAGGCTGAATCATTGCCCCGTGACCACAAGACAGAGAGGTGGAGGCAACCATGAACAGGGCTGTTACACTCTGCGATCCGTGCCGCTTCTTTAATGAGGGTTAGGAAGTACAGAGCAGGCCTGCCACCGTCACCCACTCCAGTGCTCCTGGCAGACATTATTAATCAGTCGCGGCTTCCTTTCCCCCCGAGTCTGTGCTCAGCCTTGCCATCCTCTGCGAGGCAGCCGCCCTAAATCATAGTTGGCACTTAGGAAGAAAACCCCTCTCCTGGGCTAGTGTCACACACCACACTGCCTCTGTCTATCTGAATTGGCATCCCCCAAATCTACTTCCAGCCAACAGAAAGGCCCAACTCAATCCAGAAGACTCCTCTAGGAGGGTGGCCACTTCTTTTCTGGGGCCACATGAGCTGTGGTCATGAAGCCTGGGAAGCAGTCGGTCCACTGAAGACAGAGACAAGGATCAGGAAACTGAAAGAAATGGGAGGAAATAAAGGTGGAAGGTGAGGGTCCCAGCCCCACATCTGCTTCGCTTCCAGGAGGAAAGAAGTGACTCAGGCAATGAGACCCAGCAGCTGAAAGGGGCGTGTGCCCTGGGCCAGGCCCAGCATAACGAGTCCTGGGACTTCATGTGAAAATTTGGGAAGGAGGCAGGATGGCTAGGCCGTGGAAATTCACCTCGGCGCTGCTGCGGCCGTTCAGCCAGCATGCAGGCTGGGCCGGGCTGAGAGCTGAGTCAGCAGAAGTAACACGGAGCCAGAGGATGGAGCGAGACAGGTTCGTGCTGACACGGCTCTGGCCCTGAACACAGCCGTGTCTGGTCAGCGCTCCTGTTCCCGTCTGTTTCCTAAGCCCGTTGGAGCCGTTTATTTGTCAACTGTCAGTGAAAACATTCTGGTTAAGATGATCTGTTTGTCTTCCAAAGCTGTTCTTTGCCTCAATTATTGTTAGAAAAGACGCCTTTATCTTCTGCGTGGCTGGAGCATCTCTCCTCTCGTCTTTGCCTGGATCACTGCCCCTGCCTCCCTATGAGTCCTGCACGCCAACCTACAGGCCCTTCCTGGGCTCCCTGCTCAGCGCCTCCGGCTTCATGACACAGCTGCCTCCCGAGCCTCTGTGAGTCTTTTGGAAAACCTCCTTCTTCTAAGACAGGAACTACTGTGTTTGTTACTCAATGTTCCCAGTGAAGAAACCGTGACACAAAATCCTCTGAGACCGCAGCGCCAGGAAAATACAGGTGCTATTATTATCCCCATTTTCGCATGGGGAACAGGGGCCCTGGGAGATTAAGTTTCTTGCCCCAGATCACACAGTTATTTCGTGATGGGGCCAGGACTCATACCTAGGGTGTGTGGCTCCTGAGCTCAGTTCACACTGGAGCACCCTGTCCCCAGTCAGGAAGTGGCTGTGACGCTTGTTACTAACAACGACAATCGGGCGCTGCCACGCGGTGGTCTGGTTGCTGGCCCCGCTCCATCTTCCCACTGCTCGCTTGCCTTTCGAGAAATAATCTACTGCTGGATAAGAGGTAAAGTAGCCATGTGAGGACCGGTACTGCAGAAGGGAGAAAGTCACCGAGGGTGGACACAAAGTTTCCTTGTTCCACAGCTATCTTTTTCAATATGATAAGCTTCAAAAAGCCAGTTTATCTGGGCATGCAGTTAGAGGAAACCATGATTCAAAAAGATACATACACCCTAATGCTCAGAGCAGCACTATTTATAATAGCCGAGACCCAGCAGCAAGTGAAATGCTCATTGACAGTGCAATGGATAAAGAAGATGTGGTGTATGTATACATGTATACACACAGTGGAATATTACTCAGCCATAAAAGAAGGAAATAATGTCATCTGCAGTAACATGGATGGACCTGGAGATGATCGTACTGCAGGAAGTCAGAGAAAGACAAACACCGTACAGTATTACTCATATGCGGAATCTAACTTTTAAAAAATTATACAAATGAACTTATTTACAAAATAGAAATAGACTTACAGATATAAAAAACCTATGGTTACCAAAGGGGAAACGCAGGGGAGAGGGATGAATTAGGAATTTGGGACTAACATATACACACTACTACACATAAGAGAGAGGACCAGCAAGGTCCTATTGTACAGCGCAGGCCACTCAATATTCTGTGATAGCCTGTATGAGAAAAGAATCTGGAAAAGAATGAACATGTGTATGTGTGTGTGCTAAGTCACTTCGATAATGTCTGACTCTTGGCAACCCCGTGGACTGTAGCCCGCCAGGCTCCTCTGTCCATGGGATTCTCCAGGCAAGAACACTGGAGTGGGTTGCCCTGCCCACCTCCAGGGGATCTTCCCGACCCAGGGATCGAACCTGCGTCTCTTACGTCTCCTGCACTGGCAAGTAGGTTCTTTACTACTAGTGCTACCTGGGAAGCCCGAATATACGTATAACACAACTCAGTCACATTGCTGTGTGCCTGAAACTGACACAATACTGTAAGTCAACTATACTTCAACAAAATTTTTAAAACTTGTTTATTTAGTACAATAAAACCTGGGCCAATCCATACTTTATTACCTGGCTGTCTCTGTTCTACCAATCTTACCTGGGCATTACAGGTGATATGAACGATGAACCTGGGAGTTGAGACATGTGGGTTCCAGGCCTAGCCCTGCCATCAACCATGCACAGCTTCAGGCCACTGTCTTCCCCTCTCTGAACCTCACTTTCCACATCTATAAGGTTGGCAGGTGTGTGTGTAGTCTAACTAGAGTCTGGCATTCCCCAAAGGGTTTTCTAGTAGGCAGTTTTCAAAAATTAAAAAAAAATCCCCCCAGCCTTCCCCCCACCCCGGTCCAGTAATTCTGGGGACACTCGGTAGGACAGAGTTAAACAACAATGTATTTGCTGTTGGACTTCTTGGAAACTTTAGCTGCGCCTGTGCATTGTGACTCTGGGACAGGAAGGCAGAGGACACAGCAGGTGCCAAACTTAGTAGACAAAGGAAATGTTTCTGGCTACACTATCTTATGGGGAAGTTGTTTTGTATAACAGAATTTGGGGAAAATTAGATTAGGGGATGTGGAGGATCCCTTTCAACTGAGAAGTTTTCATTCAAAATTCACTATTTTGGCCTAGGGCTCTGTGATATGCTAAATGACATGCTGAAGCATGAAAAAAGAGAAATAATTATAGTCAGCAAAGTTTAGGTGGTGCTCAGTTGTAATTTATAGAATTCCAGTTGCTGAAAATGAGATAGCCCAAGAGTGAATGGAGGGTTATGATCCAATAAACAGAACATTGAGTGAACTTGGACCATGCCAGTCAACAGAGGGAGCTATATTGTGAACTGACCTTGCTACAAGTTTCCTCTTTGGAAATCTGAGTATATGCAGGGTACCCTTTCTGCACTACCAGAGTCTGGGAATATATAAAGTCACAAATTTGTGGCTTGAAGAAAGTGACTTAGAGACTCTGAGTTGTAAAATCAAATGACTTTGAACCATTTCAGAGAGGAAAAACAACTGTCAGCGTGCATGTTGTCTGCAGGGAAGCAAAAAAGCAAAATGAACCAACAAGCATCTTGCTGAACCTGCTTGGGGAAGAAATCATTTCTGCAGCAGCCCTGATTGCTAATTATAAAAACACACAATGCAACTTCCATTCTATCCAGGGAGCTTTCTTCACTGTCATATTTTACTGAGTATAAAAAATACTCAAAGGAAAGGACTTCATGGATTCATTCTTAACTGACATCCTCTAAATCTACTTTCACTCAAAACTGAGTTCTCTCATCATGGGGTTTTCAAGAGGCAGCGAGGTGTGGGGCAACAGGAGCCGCACTGGAGTCAGACATTGACTCAAGGAGTACGCACTGGGTGACCGCTCTATGCCACGCACCAGGAATACAGCAGCGAAAATCGAAGGAGTCGGAAATCCCTACCCTTATAGAGCTGCCATCCTGGCTCTGTGACATCAGCTGTGTGAGCTTGGCCAAGTCACTCACTGTCTCTGAGCCTTAGCTCACTGGGGCATGGCCACAGGATTGCTGGGAAAGCTCTGTGTCAGATTTTGCACGTGGAGTAGCAAGCCTAGGGCCTGGCACCTGAATGGCTTCTAAAGAGGGCAGTCAGGATCGTGGCCCTTGCAGCCAGAGGGGGAGAAGGGAGCTCAGACGGTTGCGGGGAGGCCTCACACTACCCCCAGAGCCTCTGAAGAAGGTGCAGAATGAGCTGGGGCATCTGGGAATAATGACCCGCCTCCCCAAAGAAAGCCCCACTCGTGTCCCCTGCCTTTCCCCAGGTTTGCGACATGGACAGCTGCCGGGCTGGTGACACCTTGACCCCGGGGCCCAGTCTGCCGGTCCACGGCCTCACGCAGGGAGCCAGCTTTCCTGCCAGAAGTTCAGTCCCCACAGCCCCGGCCCCATGGATGCTCTTCAAGGTCACAGGCAGACCTCCCTCGGTCTCAGGGCCGGGCATCCCTGCCAGCCCAAAGGCACCCGGGAGGTGGTCAGTGCAGACCCATCCCACTCCACCCGAAAGCCATTTACCCACACATCCTGCCTGGCCAGCCACCATCCTGCCTCATACCCTTGAGTTGCTCGCCTCCATCCCCCGGCCCCGAGCCGGGTTCTCCTCTGCAGGCTGAAGGGATCAGCCCAACCGCCCTGAGGGTGCCGCCCAGCTCTGAGGCTCTACAAGGTTCTTCTCACAGGACATCTGGAGAGATTGGGAATTAGTCAAAACTCAGTTTTCCCTGATACTTCCACTTTCAGAGTTCAGTTTTTCTGTCTGCAAAATTGGGGTTAATAATTCCTACACTTCAATCAAGACGGCTGACACAGTGGAGAGAACATGAGTGCTGAGTCGGACAGACTTGAGTGTGACCAATGGTATCACCATTTGCAAGACAAATCCCTTCTGCTCTCTGGAAGCCTGTGTTTCTTCATCTATGAAACAGGCATATGGCATCTACCTCGAAGAACTGTAGAGGTAAGTGAGGCAGACCACGCACATACCTGCACATAGCAGATGATCAGAGGAGGACTGGCAGCTCCTATTATTATCGTGGCTATTTTTACTCTAAAATAAGTGCCTGATTAAAAGCTGACTCCATCCCCAATCTCCACCACTGTGCTCACCGTCTCTGGGTCTCGGAAACTGGAGTGCCTTCTGTCTGTAATCAGAGATGGGGCTTCTATGGCTGAAAGCTACATCCAGAGGCATCCCAGTGGCTGCCTCGAATTCCGTTTAGGCTGCACAGTCCATGGTCCAGGCAACACTTTTTATGGAAAGGTGTCCTCAAACACATGTGACGTGCCGTCAAATACACAATGCCCTACTCACCCTGTCCTTCTGGAATCCTAATTCTGGTTCATGCTTTGTAGCAGATATAAAGTCATCTTTCTCTGTCAGATCTGAATCTCAGATTTTCCTGTGATCTTACCCTTCACGACCCCTTTGTCCCACATGTGGCTGTGGAGCTCAGAATGTCCGTTCAGAAGAGCATGGGATGTGGAAAGGGACTAGAATTCCCGAATCTCAGGGTTAGAGGGGATGAATGGCACTGAGCTGAAACCCTCTTCTGGTGCTTGAACTTTCTCTGCACCACCCTCTATGGAGGGATCCTTTGGACCTATCCTTAGTTACCTCCAGTGATGGAGAACTCACTAAACACAAAGGTGGTCGTTTCATCACCCACCTGGTTGCTAGTTAGTTGTCTGGCTTGCTTGAAAAAACAACAGTGTTGCACCACGGCCACAAAAAGCTTCTCGTGGGTAAATCATCTGTGAAATTGTGGTTCCAAAGAACAACACTTTTCCTGTCCACCCCCCCCCCAACTTTGAACTTTGTGGCCACTGAAAAGATTAGACATTTTTCTCTAGAATGACAAGATTCTGTTAATGTGTCTCTTCTATGCACCCATTTGCTAGACATTCCTGCAAGGAATCTACTTTAGGTGCCCACAGAGAATGCATTCCAACTCTGAACATAATTAGCTGGCTTCCAGCAGGAGGAGGAGAGGCATTCATGGGCATAGATAAATCATGTCCTTGGCCAAATAACCTCTTCTATTTTCCAACAGGGGACCCAGGGAAATTTCAGAACACAACTCAGGGGGTAACAGTTTTCCTTGTGCAGCTTCAGAAACCCAGGCACAGAGAGGAGAAGGTCACCCAACAAATCAAGGGTGGAGGCATGCATCAAACCCCAGGAATTCGAGACCTCCCAGTGCAGTAATTGATCCTTTAAGATAAATGTTTGTCTTGCTGACCAGGGAGATTTATTGTGGTCTTTTCACAGGGATTCCTGAGGCTCAAAATTATAAACAGGGAAACAGGGCCAGGTAATAAGTTGAGTGATTAATTGGTGGAGAAAGCTTTCAAAAAGGGAAAAGATCAATGGGCTGAAGAAAAATCAAACATCTTTTAGGACGTTTCCCCACTCTCTTACATTGTTTTAATTCTTCATGCTCGGTCTCTTCATTAAACATTTCTGAAGTGGGTTTTGGTTTCTTTGTTTTTGCTTTTTCAGTTATTTTTTTCTGGTAAGGTTGTTTGATTTTATCTCCTGCTTAGATTATTCCTTAGGTTACACTGAACTTAACCTTTGCCCAGTGAGGCAGAACAGGCTCTTGCTTATCTGAAGCAAACGGCACCAAGAAGCCGTGGAATAATCAAAAACACCATCATAAATGGCTGAGATACGGCACGTTCTATCTCTTTCCGAGGAAGGGGGCACCGTGAGGTTGGGAGTCAAGGTCACAGGGGGCAGGACGCTGGGGGAGCCCTGGGGCAGTCTGAGGAGTGGCCAGCTCGCAGCAGCAGGAGCTCCGTGGGGGCGGCCGAGCAGCGTGGGCTCTGGGCTGAGACGCTGCTCACCTTCCCAGCTCCGCCCCGAGCCTGCTCTGTGACTTCAGCGAGCTGGGCGACCTCTCTGAGTCCAGGTTTTCCCAGCCAGCTCTGGCTCAGCAGACCAGCTCCCCGGGGGTGAGGGCTGTGCTGTCATGATAATTAGTGTTCTTCGCAGTGCCTAGTGAGGAACAGGCACTCGATACGCTGTCTGCTAAACGGGTCACTGGGAAGATTAAGTGAGAGACTGTAAATAAAAGGGCTTCCCAGGTGGTGCTAGTGGTAAAGAACCTACCAGCCAGTGCAGGAGATGTGAGAGACATGGGTTTGATCCCTGGGTGGGGAAGATCCCCTGGAGGAGGGCATGGCAACCCACTCCAGTGTTCTTGCCTGGAGAATCCCGTGGACAGAGGAGCCTGGTGGGCTACAGTCCATGGGGTCGCAGAGTCGGACACAACTGATGTGACTTAGCACGCACAGCATGCAACTAAAAGCCTAGGAGAGCGCAGATGCTCTTTAAACAGCAGTTCAGACTCCTGTCAGTGTCAGGGCCGGGAAAGGGTCTGCTGTTGCACTGGGGAGCGGCGCTTCCCTCACCCTCAGGCCGAGGGGACTGAGGTCTGGAGTCTGTTCATTCACTTCACACACACAGGAGGTGCCTCTGAGCTGTTGGGCCCTGTGCTGGGGGTGGATCAAGACAGATGCACTCTCGATGCTGATGAAGCTCACATCCGAGCGGAAAGAGACAGTAAACGGGTAGACAGGTGTGTGAACAAGGATGATCCTACATGCCAACGAAGTGCTAAGAGGACAGGAGTGCAGGTGAAACTATAGACAGCGTCTGACTGATGGAGTGGTGGCTGGCTGCATCAGACGGAGCGAGCCAGTGGCGGAGACCTGATCGGTCAGGAGACCGTCAGACTAAACTCGGAAGCCCGGGTCCCCCGGGTCACTGCTGCACCCGTGCTTCACTCCGGTGTTTGTTCTCACAGGTCTTTTCCTGAGGGGAGGGGACAGGACTTTTATTCTGATATAATTTTAAACTTACAGAAAAGTTCTGAAACAGTACGAGGAACTCCCATCTTCTCAATTCACCACCAGCTGTTCGTGTTTTGCCCTCTTCTCTCTTCTCTGTCTCTCTCTACATATATAGCACACGTTACACACATATACACACTCACGCACACACACTTTTTTCTGGACCATTTGAGAGTAAATACTGCAAACATGCTGCCCCATTACCCTATAATTTCTAAGATAAAAACATTCACTTACACAACCACAGTCCATATTTAAATTTTGTCAGTTGCTTCTTTTAAAATGACATATATATTTCCAGGTCCGGGATCTCATACTGCATTGGGCCCTGACATGTCTTTAGCCTCCTTCAATCTGGAACAGTTCCCTGGCCATCCTTTGTCTGTCTTGACCTTGGCATTTTTTAAGCATGCAGGCTAGTTACTCCATGACCTGTTGCTTTATTTGGATTTCCTGATGCTCCCTGAGAAAGGAATGCCATGGAAGGGACACTGCGTCCTCCTCGGCCCCTCGCAGCAGGAGAGGTGGTGCCGGGCTGTCCCAGGGTGGGCGATGCTAACTATGATTGCCGGATGAAGGGGGTTGCTGCCAGGTTTCCCCACTAATAAATTATTATTGTCCACTTTGCAATTAATAAATCATGTGTGGGGAGGCACTTTTGGAATAGAAACATTCTGTTCCTCACATTTTCACCATCAGTTTTAGCGTTTGTGGGTGATCTTCTTACTCCATCTTTCTTTCTATGCTTATTCGCTGGCATTCTACTACAAGGAAAAGTTTTCCCTCGTCTTTCATATTTATACAGTCATGTATTTCCTTTGTTGTACAGTCACTCAGTCATGTCTGACTCTGCGACCCCATGAACTGCTGCATGCCAAGCTTCCCTGTCCTTCACTATCTCTTGGCATTTGTCAAACTCATGTCCATTGAGTCGATGATGCCATCCAACCATCTCACCCTCCGTTATTTCCTTACAGCATGACAAATTCATCAGCTTTGATTTTATCCAGCAGGTTACAACCCACTACTGCCAGAATCAGCCTTTCCTCCAAGCCTCTGGGTGTTAAATTCAGAACGAGCTCTAGGTGCTGGCAGGCTCCTGCTCCCAGGACGTTACTGCTCTTCGGGTCTCCAGGGGCATGGAGCAAGACAGCTTCTCAAACGTTAACGTGCAGGAGGTGCTGGGATGTTAAGTGCAGCTTCTGGTTCACCGGGTTGGGTTCACCAGCTGGGGTGTCAGATTTTGCTTTCCTAACAAGCCTCCAAGGGATGCTGATGCTGCTGGCCCAAAAGCCACCTCTTGAGCACCGAGCCTGTGGGACAACAGTTCTCAAGCTTTGGCATGCATCAGGACCTGGAGGGTTTGTTAAAATACATATTCCCAGGTTCTACTTTTAAAGTTTCCACTTCAGTAAGTTTAGGGTTCGGGTTCCCAGGTGATGCTACTATTTCTGATTTAGAGCTATACTTTGAGAACCACTGAACAAGGACATTGATTTTGGAACGTGGTTATATTGGAATTCTTGGGAAATTTTTTTGTTTTTGTTTTTTACATCCCAGAGATGATGATTTAATTGGTACAGAATGTGGCTTGGGCACTGAGAATGCTATGAGTTTCATAAGGGTTTCTATTGCTCAGCACGAGTTGAGAAGATTATTCTAGAAAGAGGTAGGAGTAAATAAAAAGGCCTTTGAGAGGGAGTGAGCTTGCCATTTTCGAGGGCCAGCGAGGAGGCCAGAAGGAAATGAGATCAGAGAGGTGGGCCAGGGTGGGATGGGGAGGGGATAAGACGTGTCAGGCGTGAAATGTTAGTTACTCTGTTGAGATGGGAAGCCACGGGAGGCTTTAGGCAAGGATGCTGTGACCTGAATGCCGTGACTGTGAGCCTCACCGGCTGGTCCTGAGGCCAGCTCTCATTTTGCAGGTCCAGAGGCTTTCTACCCAAGTGAGTCTGGCTGTGATGAATCGAGGATGCAGCTCCACAGCCATCTCTCAGTGCTCCCTACACTTTCAGTACTGCCCATGGACACTGTTTACAACTAGTTTCTGAGGCTTTGAAATCCTGGGAAAGTAAGTTTAGGCACAGTAATAAAGTATTATGTCAGGGGAGAAAAACGTTACAGATAGGGGATGTCTCTAATTGTTGATAAAGATGTTCAGGAGTGCTTCGCTTTAAGAAAACGCAATGTGTGTGGCACAATGTGAACATATCTAACATTACTGAACCGCGCACTTAGTGGTTAAAGATAGTAAATTTTACACTGGTTTTTTACAATTAAAAAAGAGAAATATTCACCATATATGTGAAAGACAAATCTTCAAAGCTCTGAATTCTACAATTTAATTTTTGTTTTTTGTTCTTCAGGCAAGCTATCATGGGTATTTCACTACCATTTGGAAAACTCTATTATACCATTAAGAATAATAAAAAAATTTAAGCCAAGGAGAAAAAAAAAAGAAAATGTATAAACCATGAACTTGGGAAATGGATAAAGTTAGGCATAACCGCTCATTTTAGCAAAAGGAGTCCTTAAGTAAGGGATTTTGCACCAGCGTCCCTCTAGGGCGCTAAAACTAGCATTCACTTGACACGCAGCCTGGCAGAAACATGACCAGCTGGGGGAGAGAGGTGGACCAGAGGCCTTCCGTAATGTCACTTCCAACAGAGCGATAATAACTTTGCGATTTCGCTTATCTGCTCCGTCCCCTCCAGGTCATTGCACAACATGAGTGTGCTTGGATTGCACAGGATTCCTGGGACACCATCCACATTCTATTTTGATTCTGGCACTTGGTAACCTTTCTTCTAGGAAATGGAACAACCAAAAAGCCACCCGTTGGTGATATTCGGTCGTCCTGAGGAAGCAAGGGCAGCGAGGCCACCTGAGGCTGACTGAGCAGAGGCAGGCGTGGCCCCGGGTCATTTTAGCCCCACTCCGGGCCTGACTGATGGTGGCCTGCAACCAGCTCTGCCAACTTGCTATGGAGATGAACTGTCCTCTCCCTCGGTTATTGGAGCCCTAGGTTTTTCCTGGGCAAGAGCTGACAGTGACGTCATCACCTCGTGATGCTGTTGGGTGACCTTGTTCAAAGAGCTGGTTCCACTCGTTCCCCCTGGATCCTAAAGTTGTATGAGAAAAACACTACTGAGAACCAAAGAGGGAGGGGGGTCGAAACTCTGCACAGGGGAAGCCCCCTGCCCTTCATCTGACTTCCAAATCCTCATCATGATTAACTTTTATTCAACCCACGTGCTAGCAGTCCTCAGCCTGGGAAAGCCTTAAAGGAAAAACCATGGCAGAGATCAATGTGATGATTACTTTCTAAATAATGTGTAGTAGACTCGGCCAGGTAGAAACTATGACCTCATAAAGAAGAGCTCTGATCCTTTATAAGACACAGAAGTGTTTACAAGTGGTCTTTTGTACTCTGGACGAGTACAGAGTCCTGAAAGACAGGAGTCAGGGCACGTGGCATGGAACCACTGGTTTAATTAGGAAAACAAGAGCTACTCTGAGCTCCGACTGCACGCTGGTCCTGGGCCACATCCTGCGAGGATGTCGGTGAAGGCTCAGCTTCCTCCTGGTGAGCGCAGCTACCACCCTCAGGTCCGGGAGGAGGAAACTGAGGTTCAGAGGCTGGGCCGCTAAGCAGTTGTGCTGACAAACACACACAAGGCCTCCGGGCTCCAAATCTCTCCTCTTCGCCGAGCACACACTGCTGGCTTGCAAATACCATCACCAAGAGCTTTTTCAAGAACTCCAAACCGAGGCTCTGTTAATCAGTAACAATGACCGCAGGCCTTCCCACAACACCCAGGGCTTAAGCTGAAAGGCCAGTGCACAGCTGAAGGCCCCGAGGCCGCGCGGTGAAAACATCCCCTCAACGCTAGCAGCCTCCTGACTCAAACCCCGAGGAGGGCGCTCCGCCCGCCCGCCCACTACAGGCGCGCAGGACCGAGGGCTGACCCAACGCATCTCGTCTGGGATGTGGCCGGGCCGACGGTCGGTCTCGTTTTAACTTAGCAGTATGCGGGCACACAGGGCGTTTTACCCGACGACTTGCTCCCTGGGGCCTGAACAGCTCGCGATTTTCTTTCCTTCTTTGCTCCTGGCAGCCACAGATACTGTTAGGCTGGAGCTCCACACGCTGTCGGGGTTTAAGATAACTGGCAGCCGTGGCTGGCCCACGCGGAAAGATGCTGGCCGAGAACCGAGGACCGCGGCGGCAGAAAGGCGCGGAGCGCAGCGCCACCTGCTGCCGACAGCCGAGGCGGCCGTGGGGCGAGCCCGGGGCGGAAGCCGGGGCGGAGAGCGAGCCGGGAGCGCGGCCCTCCTCGCCGCTCGCTGCAGGTGCGGCGCTGGCCCCGCAAGCTGCACGCTGAGAAGTTTGGCCGGAACTCGCGCCAGGCGGACGCGAGAGCTGGTTGCCGACGCGGCTCCCCGCAGCCGACCCCGCTCGGGGGAGGCCCCCGCCCTCTTTGTGGCGGCGACGCCGCCTCACTGACAGACCAGGCCTCTGGCGCGGGTCTCCCCAGGAGGAGCGCCGGGGCCACCTCCCCGGGGCCCGCCTCACCCGCGCGTGTGGGAGGCCGAGTGCCCCGAACCACCGTGAAGTCACGGACTGGGGCCGCGTACGCGGCGGTTTTGCATGCCGGCCGCTCCCCTGCCCTCCCCGGGCCACGGCGGCAAAAGCCGGGCTTACGGACGGCGGCGCCGCGGGAAGGAACCCACGCCGGGCCAGGATGCGCGGGGAGCCACCGACAAACACGTGCCCAGCACCAGAGAAGGGGCGAGGAGCGGGAGGGAGGGAGGAAAGAGAAGAGTCGGCTTGCCGGCAGCGGGCCGTGCCGGGCCTCGGCTGCTTCTCCAGTCAGGGGCCTGCAGACTGCTGGCCGGGCGAAAGAGCGCGGCGGGGCTCCCAGGGCCCCGGGCTCGGGCTCCTTCCTGCTGCCGGAAGACAGCTCCAACCTGACCCACTTCCACCGCCCCCTGCTCAGCCCCGGCACCTCGCCTGCCACGTCCTGCGTGGCGGCAGCCCTGGGCGCTGTTTGTCTGACTTTGTCTGACTCACTTTGTCACTGACAAAGCCTGGCACTGAGAACTCATGAGAATAATCCCCAACTGAGTTAAATTTTTTCACATTCATGGTCCTCCTGAAATCTATCTGGGGAGGAAAAAAAAAAAGTGGGAGTAGTTGGAATACAGTGAATGAGTGGCCTGAGCAAACCGAATGGGCCTCCCAGGACTGCCTCCCCTTCTGTGACTTCCAAACCCAGGGTCCGTGATGTGTCAGTGACATTCTAGGCTCTGTCCGGGCTTCTTACAGAAATGCCTTCCAGCCCTTACAGGCTGACGTCAGGGTGTGAGTACCTGGCCCAGATGGTCTGTGGCCCGGCTGGGATTGGAAGCCAGGTTTATCTGACTCGGGGCTTCCCTGGTGGCTCAGTGGTAAAGAATCCGCCTGCCAATGCGGGAGACATGGGTTCCATCCCTGGGTCAGGAAGATCCCCTGCAGGAGGAAATGGCAACCCACGCCAGTATTCTTGCCTGGGAAATCCCATGGACAGAGGAGCTTGGTGGGCTACAGTCCATGGGGTCGCAAAAGAATCGGACACGACTTGGGGGCTCAACAACAACAACAATCAATATCAGAAACTACAGTGGGTATGCTGCTTCCACATCCAGGAGACTTCTAGAATCAGTCAAGAAAATAAGAATCTACATGTTCCAGGTACTAAAGCTGGGGCATGGATCTAAAATGAATTAAAAACACTTGGCTTCTTTATTTTCTTGGTGTTAGTTTTCCGTGTAAATTGGTAACTAGTGAGGTATCTACTCTTGGCATACACTGTGGTTCTCAGGTAAATGGTAATGGGACGGGAGGGGGGATCGGGATGGGGAAATACATGTAAAACCATGGCTGATTCTTGTCAATGTATGACATAAACCACTACAATATTGTAAAGTAATTAGCCTCCAACTAATAAAAAATAAAATAAAATAAAGAAAGAAGGAAAGAAAATGGTAATGGGACAAGATGGCTAGAAGGGCAAGTGTCCACTTGTGGGCAGGACATCACAAGTATCTGGAGAACAGTAGGCAAAGTTCACGTGTGAAAGAACCATTTGCCTGAATGGATAAAGTAGTGATATACGCATATATGTATATAATGGAGTGTTATTCCGCCATGAGGAAAGAAGAAATTCTGCCATTTGCAACACATAGACAGACCTTGAAGGCATTATGCTAAGTGGAATAAGCCAGACAAACACTGCATGTACCGTATATGGAATCTCAAAAAAAAAAAAAAGGCAAAAAGTCAAACTCTTAGAAAAATGGTTTCTAGGTTTGGAGGATGGGGGAAATACAGATGGTGGTAAAAGAGTACAGACTTTCAGGTATAAGTAAAATCTGACGATTCAGTATAAACCATGGTGACTAAGTTGACCACACTGACAGAAAGTTCTCACCACAGACACACACAAAGATGAACATGAGGTGATGGATGCATTAATAACCAGAAGTGGGAATCCCTTCACAATGTATACATACATCAAATCACTACAATGCCCCCTTGAAATACCTCACAATTTTGTCAATTTCACTTCAAAAAAGCTGAAAAAAAAAGTACCATTTACTCTTTCCAACTGTAGGGTTGTCACTGGCTTTCTTATGGTTTAACTGCTCATTCATTCAGCATTCCCTGGGGACACGCTCTTGGCCAGGCCCTGGGGCCAGGGGTTGAGACAATGGTACCAGCTAACAAGAAGCCACTTACTGGGTGGGACTCGTTCTCACGTCACGCAAGTAACCCGCCCTCCTCAGAGCTCAGAGGACCCCAATACTTACTCTCAGCCCAATACACTCGTGTTGCAGGCTCCCCAGCTCAGCCCGGCAAGGGGACTCCCGCTGCTGTCAGGCCCAGTCATGAAACATGGCTAAGCTCCATCCACACTGACGCCCCCGCGTCCACCGCCCCCCAGGGTGCTCGAGTGCCTCTTACTAGATGCCAGAGCAACAACTTCAAATTGCAACATCTCTGCTATGAAGTGTGTTCCAAAAACTTTGTCACTAATTATCAGGAGGGTTTGTTTTCATGTACGTTAGGGGAGATGGCAAGTTACTCTCACATAACAGGCACTCTGTCTCCAGCTCCCACCCACTCCTTACCCTGGCTCCGTTGAGAGCAGGGTCCCTCTCCTCACTCAGACCAGAGTACCCCTAGGTGGGCGATCTGACCTTTAGTTCTATGACGGGCCCGCGGCGCAGGCCCAGCCAGTGTGTTCAGTCGCTCAGTCGTGTCCGACTCCTGGGCACCCCATGGAGCCTGCCAGGCTCCTCCATCCATGGGACTTTCCAGGCAAGAATACCGGAGTGGGCTGCCACTTCCTTCTCCAGGGGATCTTCCTGACTTGGGGACCGAATCTGCATCTCCAGCATTGGCGGGGAGAGTCTTTCCCGAGTCGCCTGGGAAGCCGTCCTCTGGTAGGGGACTCGCTCTCAGCGCAGCTGCCAGAAGACTTGCATTCTGTTTCCCATCTCCTTCTGCCAGTGTTCCACTGTTGAATACTTTAAAAACAATGGCCACTAACTGAGAAAGGTCCATTTCACAGACACCACGTAACTTCTAAAATTTTTTAACCTCTGGGGCACCTTGCCTGATGAAGGTCATATTTATCATCCTTACACTCTCGGGGCCTCGGGCTCTATATCTGTGTAGCACCTGTAAACTTGATAAATCCTTTCTAGAAACTCTGATGGAGCTTCAGGTGGTTTTTATCTCAGGAATTTTAAGTTTGTCCAGGTACCCCGTTGGGTTTTCTCTCAGATCTCTGCACTGTAAGGTGGTAGTCCCCTGACTCGTTTTTCCCCGGATGCAATAGCATAAAGGCCTCTATATGTGGTGCGTGCCAAGTCACTTCAGTTGTGTCCGACTCTTTGTGACCCTATGGACTATAGCCCAGCAGGCTCCTCTGTCCATGGGATTCTCTAAGCAAGAATACGGGAGCGGGTTGCCATGCCCGCCTCCAGGGGATCTTCCTGACCCAGGGATTGAACCCGAGTCTCCTGTGGCTCCTGCATCGCAGGCAGATTCTTCACCGCTGAGCCAGCGGGGAAGCCCTCCACTTACGCTATCTTTTCTCTTTTCCCTGCCATTTGCAAAACACTTTAACTGTGAGATCGTGAGTCAGAGGGGCCATTGCTCTTCTGATCCTAACATATATTGGGTTCTCCTCACCATGATGGCTAGGCAGGGTACAGCACGTGAGCCCGTCGAGAATGAAAGCACGGCAGCTGGCAAGCAGGTAGGCTGTAATCCTGGATCTGCTACTGGGCAGGGCCTGCCCAAGAATGAAATCCACGAAGCTCACCAGAGCCGAGGCACACAAACATGACTGAGCCTCTGGAGCCTGCCAGGGCGACTCCCAGAATTTTCAGTGACCTTCCGACTAGTGCAGGTGAGCATTGCTCACAGCTGGCAACCGCTCGCCCAACGGAACATTCCTCCCCTCTGACTGCAGGCTAAAACGTAGGTATGTATTACAGGCATTCCTCGTAGATTGTGTTTCACTTTATGGCTCTTATTTTTTTAAACAAATCGAATGTTTGCGCAACCCTGCATTAAGTTTACTGGAGCGTTTTTTCCAACAGCATTTCCTCACTTCATGTCTGTGTCACATTTTCGTTATTCCTGCACTATTTCAAACTTTTTCATTGTTATGGTAATCTGTGATCAGTGATACGCCCTTTATTGTGGGGTTCTGGAACCAAACCTGCAATAGTTCCATGATGTGCCTGCATCTGTCATAGAAGGATGTGTGAAAATAGCCTAGTTTGGGCAGATCTTTAAAAACCACTATTTAGAATGTGTGAAAAATGCCTATTTGCAGCTGATGCTTTTAGTCTTACTTGGGATGCTCAAGTTACTCAGTTTTCAATTGGGGCACGTGTCATCTCAAAGCTGTAGCTGCACATTTTGTCCATCCTTGTTTGTGGGAAACCATGACAAGTCAGGACCATAAGCCACCAACACGGGGATCCAGGTATGGCATCTGCTTGAGAGGCTTCCCCTTGAGTTATGTGATACCATGTCACAGAGACTACCAGTCCCCAGCTCCAGTGACATCAGGCCATCCAGCTGGCTGGAGCTCAGGGTGCCGTGCAGCCCTGGAAATCCAAGGCATGGCTCCGGAGCCCCCTGACTGCACCCTCTCAGAGGGCAACACCATTGCAAGCCTGGAGAGGCAGCCTGGAGGGAGGACTGTGGCAGGACACTGCTTGAATGGCCCCTACTGCGGGTTGGGCCCCAGCTCCCACCCTCCAGGCAGGCAGCCTGAGCTCCGTAAGGGCTTGCAAAACTGCCATCTGGGGACATGCAGAGGATTATCCTGCAGGTACACTTTTCAAAAATATTTGGCTGTGCCAGGTCTTAGATGAGCACTCAGGATCTTCAATCTTCGCTGTGGCATGCAGGATCTTTAGTTCTGAGATGTGGGACCTATCTCCCTGAGCAGGGATCGAACCTACACCCCCTGCATTGGGATTGCAGAGTCCCAGCTGCCAGACCACCAGGGAAGTCCCCATCCCCTGTATCTTAGCAGCCAGGACTAAGCAGACATTTGTATAGAGCAGCTGGGTTTTATGTGCACACGATCGCAGCTGTGTCAGATAGTAAGGTTCATGGTTTTTAGAAACATAGTGTGTAGACAACAGTCCTCACAGCCAAAAAATAGTTCTACTTAACCTATCAATTCTAGAAAAAACAGAAAGATGACCAAGAATAGAAAAAGTATTCATGAATTAAGCAGATATCAGATGCCACAGGGATAGAATCGGAGTGGCCACCATGCCAGCCTGTGGTGGACATCAGGAGCCAAGGCTGCCTACACGCTCACCTGGGGACTGCCTGGGACGCACAGGCAAGAACTGAGAGCTCACAGAGCTTCAGTTTCTCGTGACGTCCTGCAGGAGAGCTGTCACAGGGACGTCACAGAAAACGGACACAAAACCTCTGCCAGGTCTACTCTGACAAAAGATGCGGCTCTGAAACAAGTGTTCTGTTCAGGAAGGATGATCCAAAG